TTCGGGCTCCGGGAAGGGCTGGAGAGACCATTGTGGCCAAAAACAAGTATCATCAAAGGTCAGCACGCCAATTGGCCGTTCCGATCTTGCTAAGAACTCGGGCCGCGTTGTCCTGGATCTCATTTTGCGAGGGCCCGAACAAGTACGGCAAGTCAGCCCTCCAAAGTGTGGAGGCAGGCTGCTGCGGGAGGAGAAACCGAACATCCGTAAGAGACTGTCCTGGCCAGTGCAGCTGCTCAGGGCAGAACCCAACTCGGCTACAGCACACTCATTGGCCCCTGGCAAAGACGCGGCATGCACGCGCTTCTTGCCATCCCGGGTTCGTTGGAGCTTGTTCAAGATGCCTGTGATATATATAAGTAAGGGGGCACTTATGGTAACTTATTCCAAAAGCCACTAAAATGTCACTACAGCCTCTTATGCTGCAACATCACTACAACATCACTACAACGTCACTACAACGTCACTACAACGTCACTACAACGTCACTACAACGTCACTACAACGTCACTACAACGTCACTACAACGTCACTACAGCCCCTTTTTGCAGACCGCGTTGTGACCGCGTTGTGACCGCGTTGTGACCGCGTTGTGACCGCGTTGTGACCGCGTTGTGACCGCGTTGTGACCGCGTTGTGACCGCGTTGTGACCGCAAGGTGTTGTCAACATGGAGCGAAAAAGAATTTCGTTTGTTTCAATAATGAGTCAAATATGAGCCAACAATGATTCAATAATGACTCAATAATGTCGCAATAATGACTCAATAATGTTGCAATCTTTGCTCGAAGCAGAAGTTGAGCAGTAGCAGCAACAGCAGCAGCAGTAGAAGTAGTAGGCAGACTTCGAAGAGACTCCAAAAAGACTGCAGTCTTCACCGTAAAAGATTCCATAAAGACTGAGTCTCTCACCGAGTCTCTGCAGCGACTGCTGCTTGTGCATTATACTGCAGTTTGCAGCGCTTTTACGATTCGCCACTGTTCTTCGTGACGCTGCAACAATGCTGATCAGCGGGACGGTGGCAGAACAGACAGGGCAGTGGGGCGGAGCAGTGGCAGGGCAGCAGTGCTCGGGCAGCAGTGGCAGGGCAGTAGTGCAGAGTGGGCATGGCAGGGCAGCAGTGCTGTGGCAGGGCAGCAGGGCGGGGGTGGCAGAGCAGGCAGAGAGCAGGCAGTGGCAGGGCAGCAGGGCGGAGTGGCAGCAGTGGCAGCCACAAGGTCGCCACAGGGTCGCCACTGGGTCGCCACTATGATTCCGCGGCTCGCTCGGTTTGATTTATGGTAACTTATTCCAAAAGCAACTAAAATGTCACGACAGCCTCTTTTGTAGCAACGTCACTACAACGTCACTACAACGTCACTACAACGTCACTACAACGTCACTACAACGTCACTACAACGTCACTACAACGTCACTACAACGTCACTGCAACGTCACTACAACGTCACTACAACGTCACTACAACGTTACTGCAACGTCACTACAACGTCACTACAACGTCACTACAACGTACAACGTCACTATACAGCCCTTTTAGCAGCACCGCGTTGTGACCGCGTTGTGACCGCGTTGTGACCGCGTTGTGACCGCGTTGTGACCGCGTTGTGACCGCGTTGTGACCGCGTTGTGACCGCGTTGTGACCGCGTTGTGACCGCGTTGTGACCGCGTTGTGACCGCGTTGTGACCGCGTTGTGACCGCGTTGTGACCGCGTTGTGACCGCGTTGTGACCGCGTTGTGACCGCGTTGTGACCGCGTTGTGACCGCGTTGTGACCGCGTTGTGACCGCGTTGTGACCGCGTTGTGCCCGCGTTGTGCCCGCGTTGTGACCGCGTTGTGACCGCGTTGTGACCGCGTTGTGACCGCGTTGTGACCGCGTTGTGACCGCGTTGTGACCGCGTTGTGACCGCGTTGTGACCGCGAGATGTTAAAATGAAGCGAAAAGAATTTCGTTTGTGTCAATAATGAGTCAAATATGAGTCAACAATGACTCAACAATGGCCCTACCCAGAAATTGGAAGTATATCACTTTTTGAGACACTTCTGGAAAGTCTTGTTGTGTTGTGACCGCGTTGTGACCGCGTTGTGACCGCGTTGTGACTGCACAAGGTGTTGTCAAAAATGGAGCAAAAAAGAATTTCGTTTGTTTCAAAAATGAGTCAATATGAGCCAACAATGACTCAAATTGCGCAATCTTTGCTCGAAGCAGAAGTAGCAGCAGTAGAGCAGTTTGCAGCAGTAGAAGTAGTAGGCAGAATTCGACGAGACTCCTAAAAGACTGCGGTCTTCACCGTAAAAGATTCTAAAGAGACTGAGTCTCTCACCAAGTCTCTGCAGCGAAGTGCTGCTTCTGCGGGCATTCCCGACGGCCCCGAGGGGGGGGAGGGGCTGAAGTTCTGCTTCAAGTTTGGGTTTAGGGTTTCTTGAAATGTTCTCGGATTCAGGGTCAGGGTTTTTCGGGGTTGGGGGAGTTTCCCTTTATGCATTCTGCCTGAACTTACAGCCTGAAGTCCTGCTTGAAACCAGGTCGTATGGCGCGAAAGGAATGCCTTCGAAGGATAGCGGCAGATGGGACTCTGATGGATTCGCACCTACACCTCAAACTGGAAGACATAGAACTATACTGCATGGCACCGGACGCGAAGAAAACAAAAAACGCTAGTGTGGAAAAAACAAGAGCATGCCCCGACTGAGTACCGCGGTGAACCATGCAGTTCTGGACCTCCATCGCCGCGCTTTTTGGGAGACGACATGGGAAGGCGCATGTGGATCCAAGCCGACAACGGACAGTCTGCCGCCCGGCTGGCCACGAAGACTGGCGAGCGGGAGACGACAAGCCCGTTACCTTCGATGCTCGCCGCTATTACATGGTCGAACAGCACGAGGGCAACATGTGGCGCTCGCAGTGTCGGGCGCTGAGAGAAGCTTGCCGTTGGCCAACGAAATGGGCCAAATTGCGGTATTTTTCCGGGCAAGTCGGAATCCGTCGGACATCCGACCTTGCAAAGTCGGGATTCCGACCTTGCAAATTGAGTCGCTCCGAAACCCACATGTTTGCTCTTTCGCTCGGTGAGCTGTGCTGGCACTTGAAAGCATGACAAGGCCCGCTCCGCCATCGCCGGGCCAGCCGGGTTCTGACCTTGCATGAATACAAGCAAATGAAACATCGCGCCCGCAGGTTGGAGAAAGGCCCATGAACTCCATCAAATGCATCAAATGGCAATTTCGGCCGGTTTGTAGCCTTTTTTGCGCTCTTTGGGGAGAGTGGACGGGGACGAAGCATCGCGGCCGCCCTGGACATAGGTCAGAATTCGTTACTTCGAAGGCTTGTCGATTATGCGAGCTGGAGGCCGCAGGGCTCGGAATCTTAGGGGCTCCGAAGTGCTTGCAAAGAGCGTTTTGGACAGCTTAGCAGCTCCAGAACGCGGCTGGCTGCCTAACAGCTTCAAAGACGGCTCACTTGTTAGGCGAATCCAGGGTTTTCCAGGTGCAAACTGGTATTTAAGTATTTTCGTCCATGGCCCCACACCCGAAACCTCAAACCCGACCTCTGGTCTGCCTGCTGGCAATGTCCGCTCCCCATCCTCCAGAGCCGACTCCTTTGTCTCGCCGCAACATGTGGTGTGGAATGCGCTTCTGTCAAGTTCGTAAAGGGCGCTTGTTGGACTTCGAAGCCTTCTTCCATGCCCACGCAAGGACCCCGGGTCCCAGTTGTCTTGCGATTTCACCATGTTTTGAAGTGTTTGGTGCATGCCAACTGCAATATTTGAAACTCAACCGCACTTGCCAAGGCTGGTTGAACAGTAATTCCACAATTAGTGCTGCATGCCTTGTTCCTTAAAAAAAGGAAATGGAAGGAGAGTAGTTACTCGAGAAGCAGCAAAACACAAGAAGCACCGAGCATTATGGAGCGCAGATGTCGGAGGATGGTGGTTCTTGCCTTCTTGACCCTCGAGCCCTGCGGTTTTGTTGGCGTTGGGCGTGTCAAAAGCGAAAGCACGCCAAAGCGCCCGATGACCCTTCGGGTCAAAGCTATTGACCCAGCAGCAGCTTCGGCGCTGCTTCAGCAGCAACAAGCCTTTTTGACATTGTCAATAGGCAACTGGCACATTTTACCACAACGTTTCTCAAAATCCCACAGATGGCCCCGGGTGGAGAGTAGCGACCATGCCAAGATTCTGGCGGAGTTGGTGGAGAGTGCGACACAACTAGAAAACGTGTAAGCAGTGTCTGGAGCCGCCTGATTTGCCCAACGGCGATTCAACCAAACATGTTTTTGCTTGCTTTTGTTGTTTTGCAGAGTTATGTTCAGGCAAACATGGGAAGCTTTCATGTTCTGCACTTCTGTGACGTTGTCTTGCTCTATTCATATATATATATATATATTTATATTTCATTTCCAATGCATGGATTGTCTTCACCGCCGCGTTGATGGGAAGAACCGAAATGAGGCAGTCACCCACACGCATACACACGTTCGCAAGCATCAAGAACATGCAACATCGGATTGGTGTTTCATGAGGCGGATGTGGAAACGAGCCGTGGTTGCTGTGCTCCTGATCGCGTGCCAAGTGAGAAACCGTTACCCAAATTTCGCTGTACCCAGGGCTGCAAAGACACGTTTGTGGAGGCGTGCCGGTCTCGAGGACATGTTTCGAGACCAGGCATCTGAAGCCCAGCTTCAAGGTGCGCTCAATGGCCTGCTGGGCATGGCTGGTCAGCTTCAAAAAGCCACAGATTTTTTCAACTCGCTCAATGCTGCTGGCAAAGCTTGGCAGCAATGGACAGGTCTGCAGACAGGCACAGGTGCACTGTACAAGATCGGTGACAATATTTCCAAGCATGCATCAAGCCTTGTGCAGATGTTGGAAAAGAATATTCAAAATCGCAGCAACATCATTGTATCGGATGCCCAAACAGCGGAATTGCCAAGTGATCCAGTGAGAAGAACGTACTTTGAAGAGCTCATGCTCGCGCGGTGCTGTGCGACAAAACGCCGGGCATGTCAGCCATTTACGCTGAAGCAGGCACGGGCAAGTCGGTCGCCACCTTGCTTGCAGCCACTGAAGTGGCCAACAGAAGGACAGACTTCTTCGTGGTGTTGCAAGACGATCTGTCTGTCGCCCTGCGACTCTTTTTCCGCATTTCCGAAGTTCGCTCGGCAGCTTCCATCGCGAAAAGTTTCTTTATCGGCTTAGAGCAGAAGAGCATCACACTCCGTCTGGTTTTTGACAACGTGTTGGACGGTGGCGTCAGCAGCGATGCAGAGAGAGATATCCTCACAGCACTTGCACGAGGTGCGAGTGAACATGGACACCAAGTCCTCTTCACGATGAAGGATGAGAAAGCTGCAGCGTCCATCGCCGGACTCAATGGCGACACGACCTTCGTCGCAGAACTACAAGACAAACGACATGGCGCCTACAGATGGAACAAAACTGAAACCGAGCAGCTGATTCGGACATTCAAGAATCCGAATGGGATGGATACAGCAGCAATTTTGGAAGCCTCGCAAATTCCAGATGAGCTTGGCGGCTGGAGACCTCGGGCTACGAAGTTGTTCATGAAGTATGGTCGAAAGCCTTCCGCACCTCACAAACCAGGCTGGGCAACGCACGAGGGAGTACGGGAGCTGACAAAAGGGTCACGACTTTCGATTGTTTTAGATGTTTGAATTTTCGTTCAAGTCCAGTTCCACGCAGAAGTTGAAGTCCATCAGGCATCATTGTGACCATGTAGATGTGTGCTTCTTCGGAGTCCTTTTCTCTTGTTTGATCTGCAAGGCTACGTTGCGACTGTGAGAGCACCCTGTGAGGCCCATTTGCCGGATCCGCAGGCGCAAGAGTTGCAAGGTTTGAGACCGTTGCAGGTGCACATGTGACCATTAGAAATTGCCAGCCTTTGGAGTTCTGCGAGGCTCTGCAGGCACTACCTCAACGTCATCCGTCTGGATACGGGAGCTGATCTGCAAGGACTCTGCTGTGTGAGAGCACTCTGCTGTGTGAGAGCAAGTGCCGGTAATTGGAGCGCAAGGCTGACCGAGAGCATCAGTAGCATTCAGCTGAACGCAGGGTTGGGGCACCTGTTGGGATCTGGGCTCCAGTGTGTCTCGGACGCTCGTCGACAGGGGCGAAGCATGCGGCATGCCCATAGTGGCACACGTCTGATCGTGGGAGAGGGGAGGGGCGGGAGTCTGGCAGTTTTTGGCTGTTCTTTGCTGGGAGTGTTTCTGCAAGCTTGCCGTCAGTTCATGTCTGCCGCAGTTTTGACCCACTCGACTCGCAGGATCGGACGGTCACAGGAAAGCTGAGGCCCGAGGAGGATTCCGATGCAAACAAATCATGTCCACGTTGCAAGCAATGCATTCTCCAAGACGGGTGGCTGAATTTGTTCGCATCTCTGTTGAAAAAAGTTGCCGACCCACAACTGAAGTTCGATGACGGCAAGGAGCTCGAGCCGACGGGCAATGCGTTCCAAGTGGAAGGAACCTTGACTATCGCCGCGACCTTAGCTCCATTCACTCGATTGCCTCAGTTCATTTCTGTATTTACGAGCGGTTCTCCACGCTTTTGACGTCAGGTGGATGACTTGAAGAAGGCCCTGCGCTTGGATTTTGCACGTGGATTTAGCTCGTCCTGTCTTTGGAGTTGTTTGCAGATGCGCGATGAAAACATTGAAGTTTAGAGTGTCCATGTTTGCACCTCTCGCAACCCATGAAATCAGGCAATGAAAGTGGAGAAGGAACTGTCCAGAATCCTTTGTTTATCGCTGCAGGCAATCGACCCTTCCTTGTCTCCGTATCAAGCGTCCAAGATCGGAATCTACAGCCAGAAGGAGGACTTTTCATGTCTCCCCTAGCCCTCCCTGTGCCGCGTCTCAGCTTGACTTTGCAGGATGGGCGCTGGGTGCCGGAAGATGAAGAAACAAAAGTAAATCGCGGCACATCCAAGCCCAGCACTTGGTTGCCATGACTTTTCAGCTTAGGGTTTTTTGCCGTCGCCCCGCTCGCAGGGCAGATTGCTACGGGTTCGTGCTGCCACCAGCGGACGACGTATAAGTTGCATGCGTGTGCCTCAGCAGCGCTGGAGTTTGAGCGCTGCGAAGTTGCATCCGTCCTTGTTGTGTGAGCTTCTCGGCTGAGGTAGCAGCAGCATCACTGACGTTTTTGGCGTTGCGGCTTTGCTTGACTTCCAGGATTAGCAGACAGCAGTTCAACGCTCACATTCTTTGAGCAGGCTACGGCGTTCAAGTTTTCAAGTCAAGCGGGGCGTGCAACAGGTACAGGATCAGCGACACAGATGCCAGTGCTGGTCAGAAGCAGTTTCACAGAGGCGCTCTTAGTCGTGCTTAAGTGCATAGACGCGATCAATCCATTTGAAGAAATCTGGAGGAAGAGCGCTTGCATTGCTTTGCTCCGCCAGTACTTCAACTTTGAGTCTTACTTGTTAGCATGATTTTTCTGGCTGAATCGTGAATGAAATCGGAGAATCCGTGCTCGCAGCTGTGCGGGCTCTGGGTTTCACTCATCAACCTTGCGACGTGCAGTCGGTGTGGCCATGTTTGCAAGTGACATGCTTCGGATCAAACCGGGCGCCGCTCGGGATAGAAACCGGGGGGCTCCGAAAGGAGCAAGGTCGGAATTCCGACCCCGGTATTCCGGCCTCGGTTCAGGCCGACGAAACGGGCGCCCTGCCCGGAATAGAGGCCGGGAAAAATTAATTATTTTTTTTTTTCGGGCCGGCTTGTCATTCTTGTCATTCCTGTCATTGTTTAGACGTCCTCCAGAGCACACAAGTACCTGTGACAGAATGACCAGCCCCCGAGAGGGCAGCGGCAGGAGACAAGAATGACAAGCTTCCCGAGGCTCGAAATAAAAAGCAAAGTTCTTGCAAAGAGCGCTGAAACGGGCTTGAAGGGGGGCCCACCCGGCTGTAGCTCGTAGCAGCTCGCGAGCAGCATGCATTTAGCTTCTGGGCAGCTCTTTCTGCGACTCGCTGTCCTTCCTAGCAGCTCGCAGGCCCAGCGTGTGCCCTTAAACTGCTTCCGAACAGCTCGCAGGCTCTCCACGCGCCCTCAAACTGCTCCCGAACCGCCGGGCGCCCCGTTTGCAAGCACTTTAGAGCCCCTTCGATTCCGCGACCTACCGCTCCGAGCCCGCATAAACGGAACTTAATGTGATTCGGGGAGGGTGTTCCAGCCTCGTTTCGAGAGATGCTCGAGAATTTCTACGTTTACAATTTGCAAATCCATGTTGCCATGCGAAGCTTCAATTGTGTCAGCGGAGCTGATGGCCAGCACCGAAACAATCCCACGCGCGACGATTTCCAAGAACGCTCGACAACAAACCAAAGCAGATCGACTGTGATGGATTCACGTCCACCTCGAACGTGCACACAACGAACGCTGCGAGCGCCTTCGGCCATTGCGATCTGCAACTAATCGATCCATCCAAAGGTAGCACAGCGGACCCGCAGTGACTCGTAGTGACTCCGTAGTAGTGAGTAGTGACCCGTAGTGAACCGCAGTGACCCGTAGTGACCCGTAGTGACCCGTAGTGACCCGTCGTGACCCGTAGTGACCCGTAGTGACCCGTAGTGACCCGTAGTGACCCGTAGTGACGCGTAGTGACCCGTAGTGACCCGCCGCAGTGACCCGCAGTGACCCGTAGTGACCCGTAGTGACCCGTAGTGACCCGTCGTGACCCGTCGTGACCCGTAACGCGTAGTGACCGTTACAGCTGCATCGCGAAGAACAGTCGTAAAAAGCGCTGCAAACTGCGGTATGACGCAGAAGCAGCACTTCCCTGCAGAGACTCGGTTAGAGACTCAGTCTTTTTGGAATCTTTTACGGTGAAGACTGCAGTCTTTTTGGAGTCTCTTCGAAGTCCGCCTACCACTTCTACTGCTGCAAACTGCTGTTTCTGCTACTACTGCTTCTACTTCGAGCAAGATTGCGACATTGTTGAGTTATTGTTGGCTCATATTTTGTCATTCTTGAGCCATTCTTGAATTAAACAAAACTCTTTTTGTGTCTTTTTGAACAAATTTGCATTTTTTATTCTGCAGCAAGCGAGTTTTTTGTGCATTGTAGTGACGTTGTAGTGACGTTGTAGTGACGTTGTAGTGACGTTGTAGTGACGTTGTAGTGACGTTGCTACAAAAGAGGCTGTCGTGACATTTTAGTGGCTTTTGGAATAAGTTACCATAAATCAAACCGAGCGAGCCGCGGAATCGTAGTGGCGACCCAGTGGCGACCCTGTGGCGACCTTGTGGCTGCCACTGCTGCCACTCCGCCCTGCTGCCCTGCCACTGCCTGCTCTCTGCCTGCTCTGCCACCCCCGCCCTGCTGCCCTGCCACAGCACTGCTGCCCTGCCATGCCCACTCTGCACTACTGCCCTGCCACTGCTGCCCGAGCACTGCTGCCCTGCCACTGCTCCGCCCCACTGCCCTGTCTGTTCTGCCACCGTCCCGCTGATCAGCATTGTTGCAGCGTCACGAAGAACAGTGGCGAATCGTAAAAGCGCTGCAAACTGCAGTATAATGCACAAGCAGCAGTCGCTGCAGAGACTCGGTGAGAGACTCAGTCTTTATGGAATCTTTTACGGTGAAGACTGCAGTCTTTTTGGAGTCTCTTCGAAGTCTGCCTACTACTTCTACTGCTGCTGCTGTTGCTGCTACTGCTCAACTTCTGCTTCGAGCAAAGATTGCAACATTATGGAGTCATTATTGCGACATTATTGAGTCATTATTGAATCATTGTTGGCTCATATTTGACTCATTATTGAAACAAACGAAATTCTTTTTCGCTCCATGTTGACAACACCTTGCGGTCACAACGCGGTCACAACGCGGTCACAACGCGGTCACAACGCGGTCACAACGCGGTCACAACGCGGTCACAACGCGGTCACAACGCGGTCACAACGCGGTCTGCAAAAAGGGGCTGTAGTGACGTTGTAGTGACGTTGTAGTGACGTTGTAGTGACGTTGTAGTGACGTTGTAGTGACGTTGTAGTGACGTTGTAGTGACGTTGTAGTGATGTTGTAGTGATGTTGCAGCATAAGAGGCTGTAGTGACATTTTAGTGGCTTTTGGAATAAGTTACCATAAGTGCCCCCTTACTTATATATGTGATCATGGCTTGAGCCACAGTGTCGCCGTCCAGAACGCCTGCAAGGATTTGCTTGCAGAGGTGCTTGTCCGAGTTTTTGAGTGTTCGGCACTGCAGCAGCAGGTCCACATGCTGCAGGGCCTTCTGCTTGCTGCCCTGCTTCAACTGTTGTCGTGTTGTAACCTGCGGCGGCAGCCATCGAAAGTAGGTGGCGAAGAAAGCCTGGCGCGCGGGATTCTTCAGGTGCTCTGGAATGAAGGCCATGAGTTCTTGGAGCTTGCCGTACAAGACGGGACATGGCTGGTCCTTAAGCTGACTGACATCAACAGGGACGAGCTGCTGCCACGCAGCAGCTGCCATGTCCTCCAAAGCTTTCTGCCGGCTCGTGTCCTCCTCCAAGAAAGTTGCTCTGACCAGTCTTGCCATGTCGAGTTAAAATCCCCAAGAGCAGACCTTGCGACAGAACTCCTCGGAGCAGCAAAGACCAACGCAGGTTTTGCAGGATGGTCTCTGTTGTGTGCACTCATGTCCCGGTCCGCCATCTTCTGGCGGAAGCTTCACACCCTGGCACCTGAGCTTTGGCCGCTTCAGCAAGGCTTCATGGTGGGTCACCTGGGCCTCGTGTTGAAGGATGAAGTAGATCGTGGAAGATCGAATAGCGGCGACCTTCTGGTCGCAGATGAAGTGCAGCTTCTTGGTGCCCAGGTTCTTGTACACGCCCCGTCTCCTCTTACTCAGCCATTCAAAAAGATCTTCGTGTAGGGGTTTCTGCTCACCCGTCTTGGGGCGACGTCCTCGCTTGACTACGCCAGACATGCCCTCCTCCTCCTTCAGCCTTTGCAGCCGTGCCAAGAACGCATTGTGGGCCTCTGAGGGCCGCGCAGGCTCAGGGTCCTGGATTTGAAGCACAGGAAGGTCGAGGTCGTTGTCCTGCTTCTCCGCCTTACAGGCCAGCTGCGCGAGCAGCTTGCCGCATGCTTCGCAGTCACTGTCTTCCATAGGAACCGCCGAATCACCCCTTGCGCAAGCACGACGGAAGGATTGCCAGTGCCCCGGTGGAGGCCGGTGGGCGTGGGCTGGACAAAAAACGTGTGGTAGGTGACGCCAAGGGCTTCTGCACGCTGCTTGCCGGCAGATGTCTCTGCCTTGACAGCAAGGCGTTCTCGCCTGCTGCCACGTGGCATCTGCTTGGGAGCTGACACCTTCTCGTCCTTATCATTGTCGTACACCAAGACCAAAGCAACCTTGCGCGGCTGCTCTTCCTTCACTTACGCCTCTTCTTAGTAGGCACCTGCTCATCTGCCTTACACTTCACCTTCTTGATGGACTTGCTAAGACCTAGGCTACGTGGGCCCGACCTGCAACGGAGCATGTTGCCAAGTATAGGAGGCCTGCAGCTGTCATGCTCTGCACGCCAAGTAAAAACCCAAATGTGCGAGGGCGCATCCTTCTTGTACAGGTCCTCGCCGTTGCCTGTAAGACGCTTGAGCATCTTGCCGGTGCTGACAAGAACACTTGCAGACTTCTCTTCGTGCATGCATGGAAGCTACGAAAGGCATCCATGGCCTGTAGAGCTTCACCTAGACGCACGCCCACACCAAGTTCATGCAGTTCACAGGTGTTCATCCATGACCGAATAAAGGCAAAGAACGGGTCACCCAACCCATCCCGTAGCTGGTGCTGCACCTCTGTCGGCAAACAGAATTTGTTAGCCGGCGACCATGTCTTGCCCAAAAGCTTCTGCAGCTGCATATCCGAGAGCTCGTTGTGGTGCTGTGCCCAGTGCTGCTTGCCGGAGCACAGCCCAGACACCGGCATTATTCTGTCCAAGCCAGCGACCGATAAAGTCCAGAGCATGGCATTCTACAAGAAAACAATGTATTGAACCAGCGTCTCAATGTGTTGGAGGGGTGGTGGGATTGAGTAGGCCCTGGGATTGCTAGTCCAGCTCTACAGATCATATCACTTCTTCGATACGTAGTGAATAAATAGCAAATCTAGCAAAACGGCTACGGTGCAATCCCTGGGGGCCATTGAGCTGCCTGGGCTTGGACAGTGGTGATGTATTGGGCCCGCGGCGGAATGTATCAGGGGAGGGGTCGTGTTTGCTGCCGCGCCACCTGCCCAAGGTTGCCAGGCAGAGGCTGCAGGGTGGGCGGAATGTGTTGAACCTGGGGGGGGGGCCAATGCATTTTCTTCTAACTGCACAAAGGTGTTTCCAGACTTAAGATTTCTTGCTTTTCTGGTCAAGGCACTTGTCACTTGCTCCGCCAGGCCACGCACTGGTCCATACATTCACCTCCTTATCGAATGCATTGTTTTGAAAGTTCAACCGTGGTGTTGATTTGTTAAGGTTGCGCGCAACGTCCATAGCTGCCCATCGAGCCTCTCGGTCGGAACATGCTACTCCGTTGCGTGCAGGCAGCAAACACACTTGTACACGTACATCCACGTTCACTGCCAGCACTTGTCCGTTATAACAGAGATTGGACATCAGCACAATGAAGCAAGCATGTTCTGCATTGCAGACTGGAAGGTTTCTGGATCGCAAAGACCACCCACTCCGTATACGGATGGTCGACATTGCACCCGGTCTTCCAACAGACATGGAAACCCCTGGAGTTCACTGCCAGCACTAGTCCGTTACGAATGTTCCTAGAAGCACACCTCGAGAAAAAAACCACTGCACGCATCTTTTCCACGCTGGCATGAAAGACCCCGGTCGGTGCTTCGGGCAGGGCAGGGCCAGGGCAGAAGGAGAGAAAGACAGAATGCTGCTCGTGGCCACCAGCATAATGTTCAGATACTCGTCCCAGATATCGATGTTTCTACAAATTTAATTTGAACCATTGACTGTTTGGTTTTCTATTATGGCGCAAAATTCAAAAGTCTTCATTAACGTTAGAAGCTTTAAGTATTTCAATAATGTACAAAGAGTCTAGTCCAACCTGGGGCTATGGTGCGTTTAGAATTGCAAAACGTGCTTTTCCATATTTTCCTTTCGAAGCCAAGTCTCAAATTTTTTTCTGTAAAATCTTCAACAACATTCAAATTCAAGAAGGGTCTAGTCCATTCCGGACCATGGTGCTAGAAACATTTACAAGCAAGAAATTTTACATCTTTTACATCTGAACGGAAAGTTAAAAACATGCAACGTTGAATGTAAAAGGGGGTCTCTGTCCATCCCGGGAGCATGGTGCTTTATGCATTTGTAAACAAATTACAAGAACACTTCAAGGCATGTCGTTTTGAGTTTTTTTATTGTGTCGTATATATATATGATCGTATAGCCACTCAAAGAGCGCATTGAGGTGGGTGTTACGCACGTGGGCCATACAATAGGGCCCTGCAGCCATCACACAGGCACCTGTCCCGTGTGTCTGGGTCTGTGGCTTACGGCGTTTCGGCTTTTTTTCATGTTCCTTTTGCAGATCAAGCTAAGCACTTGGGACGGTCAAGGTTCATAACTTTTTGTCACGTTGTTGTTGTTGTTCCTACAAATTACCTTGCGTTGTCAATGATTCAATGGCTTTTTCCATGGTTCTAGCCGCATATCAGCAGTGAAGCGCTGGCACGTGCACTAGTCAGGCGACAAAGCCAGTCCACATGCCAGTTCACAATGCCGCATGTTTCGGCATGATTCGCAAAGAGGTGACCTCTGAGTTGTGGTATAGAGCTATGGATTGGATTATTTTTCCAAGCTTCTCCGCCTCCATGCAGGTCGGGAGTTTGGATGTGTGTTTCCTTCTGGGTCCACGTGAACGGCACGATGTAGGGAGCTTTGTTTTATGATAGGACTCGGCAGTGGGCCAGATTCTGTTGCCGCCTGTGGCAGGTGCAGCAACGAACTCCACCTTCGCGTGTGTCATCCTTGGTTGATCGCGTGCGACCGTTTTGTTCATGTGCGTCACCTGGATCTTGCAACGTGTGTTTCATGGCGACATTTCAACGCCAGCGTTTCCAAATCCTACAACAATCGCTTAAGGCCCATCCTGGCTGATGGGTCGGATTGCAAGCAGGTCATCATTCCGAGCAATGACCTTGCTGAGTGCTTTTGTGGTGCTGAGGTTGGCGGCCGCGGTGTTGCCATGCGGCAGCCGCCAATTTTCCCTGTTAGTGCATTGCGAAAGCAGGACGCGGATCAAGCTTGCCATGGTCACGGTGATACATTGCTCTTCTGCATGCTGCCTCATGTTTAAGGTCGGCCAATGTCGGAAAATTTTGTTGCACTCAGTCTTAGGGAGTTGCGAGTCTGGTCTTCAAGCTGCATCTTTCGGATGCATGGTTCCTTTCCAGACCCATGTGAGCCTCAAGCTTGCTCTTTGGATGTCTTTGTTCCGGTGCACCTCTGTCGGCTAGGGCTTCGGTGGCCTTGCAGCTCGAAGATCATCCCCCCGCAGTGAGGTCATGGACCTTGTGGGGTTTCAGGGCTTAAGGCTTTGCTTGATGTGTGAAAACAGCAGCGAGCAGACTTCAGAGCTTCGGGGTGCAGGCATTTGCGTGTGTTGGAGTATCCACCAAAGAAGCCACCATAGCCTCCCCAAAACCCCAAACCCCAATGCCCAGACCTTCAACGTTACGCTTTAAGTTCAAGCCCGAATCCAACAAGACCTTGATCGCTTGCTCGGTCGTGGGGTTCGTGGGGTCGCAGTCATGTCCCGGTGCTTCGGAAGAAGTTCCTGGTTTAACGTTTGGGGGGGGCCGGGTTTAGGGTCTCATATAAGGGCCTTAATTAGAATAGGGTTTTGGGGGTTACTGTAGTTTGATAGGGACCATAAGGGAATAATACTTTAGTAAATATTCCGACCCCTACGTCAGCACCCATGTCGCCACGTTTTGGTTCCAGGTTGCCGAGGTGCCATATGAGACTTCTGGGCAGGGCTGATTTTTCGAAGCCGGCGTGTTGTGTTGTGTCATGTGTGCGCTGCATGGTCATGTGTGCCAGGCATAGCAGAGCTTGCGTCACTAGATCGCATGCGATTGTTTTAAACCTTCCGACCTTAAACCTTAAATGGGGGCAGGCGCAAATTTTCTGCTTGTGTACGTCCCTGTTTTGGTTTTTCAGTTGTAGTTAAGGGCACCGAACGGGTTCTTAAAACAAGCTCATACTAACTTCCATATAATGGTAAACCCACAATTTGGTGCATCCCTAAACCCTAAACCCTAAAACCCTAAACCCCGAAACCCTAAACCCTAAACCCTAAACCTGAAACCCAAACCCTAGAACCAAAACCTTAAGTGGCTCGGAAGGTGGCTACGAAGGAGCAGTTGCTCGAGGCCTCTGGCATTTTTCAATCCGCTTTGAGCCAAAACCCTTGAACCCAACAACCCCAAAACCTTATTTCGGGTTTAGGGTTTAGGGTTTAGGGTTTAGGGATTAGGGTTTCAATGAAGTCTGAGGGCTCGGAGATGTAGGGTTGTTGAGTTGGGTGGGTTTTTCTACAGTCGCGTCTCCTAAGGAGCTCTCAAAGCAAGGACCCCAGTACACCCTAGTGCAAGATAAGCCCCAGCTGATATCCCTTTGATCATGATCCTGTGAAGCGACACGCAAGTAAGTCCCCGGACAGCCAGGCAGAAACTGCAGAACCGTGAGCATCTCCGAGCTAGCCAACCGCAACGGGGTCGTTCTAAATCCAAATCATCCTAACGCTTAAACTTTCGTCTTTTGATTTTGTGGTGGTGCAGAAAGAGAACGTGATTTTGGCGCTGCGAATCTGGGCCATGGGGATGTTTGAAGCATGGCTCCAACTAGGCAGAGGTTCGCAATTCCCAGACTTTGCTACGAGATCACACCCCCTCCCTGCTCACCCCAAAGGCTCCCAAACCCCCTTCAGGTCCTAAACTCTAAACCCTACACCCTAAACCTTAAACCCTAAACCCTAAACCCTCTTAAAGGTCCTTTTTGAAAAGCCCTCCAAAAGGCCCCCTGATTAGAAGTCAGGCCTGGAAACTGCTGCCGGATGGCCGCTTCCGGGGCAGACTGAGGCCAGAACCCAAAACCTCAAACCCTTACTAACCACTGTACTTATAACCCACTTGTAAGCCCCTTAAGTGCCCTAATATGATTATAAGTACAGCTATGAGTACAGTTCTAATTGGTCAATAAGCACCACGAGCCTCCAAGTAAACCCTGGGAATTTTGGAGTTGAAAGTGTAGGGTCCAGCAGGTGAGCTGCAGGCTTTTGAGGGGTTGAGGGCTCAGGATTTCTTAGGGCGGCTCTTGGATTCAGGATGTGAGGCATTGGGAATTTTAGACTTCAGCAGTGCGGGTTCCAAGGGGGGCTTCACTCAAGATGCTCGTCAGGTCTGGCGTCACGGTGGAATTTGCCGGCGAGTTGGTAGGGTGCGTAACTCAGCTTGGGCAGGGATTGCTTTTGCAGTATTTGAGGTTTGGGGTGTTGCGGTTTTAGAAGTTTAGGCCTTCCTTTGGCTGAAACCGTGCCCTAAACCGTAAAGCCTAAACCCTAAACCCTAAACCCTAGACCTTAAAACCCTAAACACCTAAACCTTTCACCTCCAAGGCCTGAGGACCCTGGTGTCGTGATCGGCCCGAAGGGCGTGCGCTATGTCCTTGGCGAGGTGCCACGCTCGACTCCTGCCATGAAATGATGGCTTGTCTCCCTGAAAAGGGTCTGTAGAGGTTTGAGGCGTGGGGTTTGGCAATGAGCTCGCGTCCATCTCTGGCTGAGGCTGGCTTGTTTAGTTTCGGAGTGGCTCTTGGCTGAACCATGCTGAACCACACATGGTCTTCTCTGGTCCAAAGTTGCGGAACTCTCAGAGTCGTGAACGGAAGGCTGCGGCGGCGCCGGCAGCCCCCAAAGCAGAAGCTGAGAGTGACAGCTTGGTGAAGGCTGCTGCAGAGCTGTAGCTTCGTCATCGAGTTGAGTGGGTGAACCCTAAACCCGACTGAGGGTTCCTACGATGCACGAAACTGCAATGCTACGTCCTAAGCCCAAAGTGCGGAGTGTTGCAGGCTGCAGTCGCAGGAGCAGGTGCTGCAATTGCAGCCGTCCTGGCCTTTATGGCTGCTGACTCAGCTGCTCTCCCAGAGTCCAGGGGGCAACAATGCCATTTGACAGCCCAGTGCAGGACTCTACACCCTGAAAACCCTAAACCGACAGACGCCAAACGGTGTGGCAACTCTCTTCACCGCATCCTTTGCTATGTCAGGTGCTGCCGGGCATGCTCCAATCATCTCCGGCGGGGTCCTCTGAGGTATACGCAGCATCAGGAATACTCGCAACAATGATAATGTCGAGGAAAGAATATGGGGGTGGGGGGTGTCTTGAAGCTATGAGCGCGCGTTCTCTGAAGTCGGAGAGCTGCGCGGATCTGGATCGATCGCGGTCTCCGTGAGCGCATGTGTGGCGCATGCGTGGCGGTGTGGTGTGTGGTTTAGTGTGGAATGTGGTGGTTTTGGTGTTGGTGGTGGAGTGTGGTGCTCTGTGATGGTGGTTTTGGTGTTGGTGTGTGGTGGAGTGTGGATATGTGTGTGTGTGTGTGTGTGTGTGTGGAGTGTGGAGTGTGGTGGTGGTGGTGGTGGTAGCGGTGGTGGCGGTGGGTAGTCTGGTGGTAGTGGGGTGCGGTGTGTCCAATCCATATGGGCGTCGATCCCGGCGAGCTTTCGTCGGCGATAATCATAATCGTTCTTGTCATATCAACAACAGTAATAGCATGCCTGGATGGCCCTGTGGGGTTGACTTCTGGATCATAAGTAGTTTCATTCCTCTGAAGTTTTTATGCCACTAGCAGCTTAGTAATCAAGGACACTCATGTTCATGAAAATTTAAAAAATTGCTAAACCTTCATTGAGCCGAAACCTTTCCCAACTGCAAGACGTTTGGGACACAACCATCTTTAGTCTTGGCCGAAGTTACGCGGAGTGTTTTCGAGAGTTCGGACTGGAAGAGACGAGTCGAGGCTGTTTGCGCGCCACACGTTTTGCCGTCTGTCGCTCCATGAGCTTTTGCAGATCCGTGCGGACCTCTTTGGGAGACCGTTTCAGCTAAGCAGGTATGGCCAAGTAAGCGCAGAGCGCCAGGAAGAGCGTCGTAAATCCGAAATCCCCGAGTCCACGCGACATGACCAGGTCTCTGGTGGAGCAGGCTCCCCGGTGAGGTGCTCAGGATGGCGCCCAGGGTTCTCCGGAAGCAAGAGCCGTGGTTCAGTGAGGAGACTGAAGCCAGCATTTCGAATCTTTTGTATATCAGGATTTCTCACGAGCCGGGTTTGGACCAAGGGAAGGTGAAAGGTCATGCAGGAGCTTCGACAAAAACATGCAATGGCTGTGATTAAGTTCAGGTCACAAGAACCAATGTGACCATTGTGCCGGGCCAAGGTTGCTTTGTGAACACATGCCCGAGTGCTGTGATTCTTTCCGTATGCTTGCCTTGTAAGAGTTTCGCCTCCTCTTATCTTCTTAGGTCGAGACGAAAAAGACCCTTCCTGATGGGTCTACGGCCAAGATTGTTGACCGAACGGTGAGGCCTTTTGAACGCGCCGTGCACGGCTGTCATACCATTTGATGAGAGGCGGATTCGTCTGTGTCGACTTGCATGCTATGGTTTGCCCTGCCAATGCTGTGTGGGTGATCCGGGGACAGGCGCGAGCGAAACGTTCCTGGCAAAGGTCCAGTAGTCACAGCGCCGCTGGCATGTTTGTCTCATGCTTGCAGCCCACGTGCCAGTACGCAGCCTTGCTCCCCTGTAGGGTTCAGGAGCTTTGGGCCCAGTCGGCTTAGGCAGACGCTAGCGTTAGAGTTGCCTCACGCTCCCCCACATCCCCTCCGACAAGTATATTCGAGGTTCACGCGCCTGCTTCCTTACCTACGCAATAAGCGAACCGAATAAGGTACTGGAAGCGAAAGCATTGTGGTACATGATACACATCTCAGGAAGTCCCTTGCCTGACAGAAAACGATAAGGCCCCAGGGCCAAGCGAGGTTGTATCCAACTTCACTGCTCGACTCTGTGCATCTCCAGGAACGGACCACTCGCACTGAGAAGGCTTCGCTTTTGGGCTTCCGAGTTCCCAGCGCTTGCAACATGACAGTTCTACTGCGCCTAAGACGTGCCTTGTTGCGATTCCCGAGATGGCATGAAGCAGCTTGAAGCAGTCTCTGTTTTCAGGTTGTGAAGGACGAGAGGGGCATCCGAGCTGCCCTGCCGCAAGCTGGAGCCTCTTGACCCTCCACAAAGAACGGGGAGGGTGTACAAAGATCGGACTTGCCAGAGCGACTGAGTGCGGCCTCTTCTGGAAAGATGGACTGATAGTGGCGGGGCATCATGTATCAAGGGATGCCTACACAGCCCTTGACTGTCAAGGGAAATCAGCCAGGGCAAGCGTCGAGCTCAGGTTCAGTTGAACCTTGTTGGAAGTGACATCGTAGGGCAGGTTGAGTGTTTAGGGTGCCTGCAACGCGGACGCACCGGCGCTGGCGCCAACTGGGCCCAAACACAGCTGATCTGCCAGGGCCAAGCAAAGAGAATCTTTATCACACAAAACCCTGAGACAAGCGCCGCCAGCCTACTCTCGGTATCCTCTTTTGAGAACATGGACTAGGCTGACTGGGCGTGCCCGGCATGCCCAACAGAACAGGAACCGCAATGCTGGCCTAGCGCTGCACGCCAAACTCGTAACCTACAGATACGCCAAGCGGGCGCGAACTTCCTTCAGCCCTTTTTAGCGTCTAAGCCCGAAACCCTCCCCAACACCCCGTTCATAGCGACGCTGCGCGTTTTGTGGGTGCCCGGCGCCAATCCGAGGCGAAGCTTGGAACTTGACGGGTGAATCTGGGAGTGTAGGCTCTTGGAGAGGCTGAGCTAGGTAGTCGCTTAGGTGACCTTTAGGTCGCGCTAGCTTCTTTGCGGGCTCGCAGAATTCTTGTATCGTCAGATATTCTGAGTTCTCCTGTGAAGCTTGCTAGACGGCTTGTGGCCACGGGCTTGTGGTGCGGGTTTGGGGTTGGGGTCGGGGGCCAGGGGTGTGAGCGCCCCCAGACTCCCAAAAGGAGTGGGCTCCTCGAAATCCCGATCGGCTAAGGCTCCAGGTGGGCGGCAGCTTACGTTCTAAGGGTCTTATCGGAAGCGTGTATACACCCCATGCCGCTTTTACATATATATATATATATATATATATATGTGATTAAGTACAAACATAAAAATAAATATGTTTTCATATATTTAGCTAGGCAGCATCTACCCACTTGTAACTGTGTAGTCCAATGTGACGCCAAGCCCCGAGCCCCAGAATCTCGTCCCCGGCCGCACCAGGCAGCCAGAGGATTTCGTAGTTTCGATGGGTTTGGGTTCTGCCATGTTCTGCTTGGTCCCCCTTCTTCGTCAATCCTAGGAGCTCCCAAAAGCCCCAGATTCCAAGTCTTTTTTTTTGGGGTTACGGGTGCAACGAACCATATGACTGGGGCTGCGCTGTAAACGGGACACCTAAAGTGGCGATTGCCTGCATGACTTGCGCTTCCGACCCATGTGCGCATTGGAGGCCATGCCTGGTGACGTGGGAGGCGATGCTGTGCGCCAAGGCTGCAATGAGGACTGGGAGGTCACAAGTCCCAGCCGTTTTCAGTTCTCAAGCACACAAGTTCTAACGCCAAAGCGTTAAGACTTCTTTGATCGAACGGATCGAGGCATTTCGTCATGCCGCAAGACAGCCAGGCAGGTTGTGCCGGATCTTCCCAGCTCGTCTTGTGCAATTCGGTAAAGCTCGAGAATCAGGGTCGTTGTCATGTTCACGCGCCGGAGCTGCCACCCAAAGCCAAGCGGGAGTTTGGAAGTTGGTGCATCTCCATGATCTCATGGGTCTTGTACTTCTGACGCGCTTGAACAACCGCTCTCTTCCTTGTCAGGCCATACCAGAAGGATACTTTCAAGCGGGGGAGGCGGTGGTCTACCACAGCCGCACCTACGACACGCCGCCTGCCTATGCAGAAGTCGCTGCAGAATGGCTTAGGCAGTGGCACTTCGCAGGAGTCTCTTAGGGCCATGTAGGGAGGCTTGGCTGGTAGCCTGAGGTTCTTGAGGACCCACATCGCCAAAGTCCATGCAGTGGACGGCGTGGTACAAGCCATCGACCTTGTGTGCAAGAAGAGGCCGTTCCAACCCTGAATCCCAGGCCTAGGAGGCTTCCCCTTATTGCAGCAGTCTTTGTGGAGAAAGGGAGGGCTCATGATCATGATACTTGCGGCTGCCTATTGTGGTCAAAGGAAGCATGCTCAAGCGAACGACCCTCACCCAAAGAGTTTCATTCACACGAAGCCCTAAACCCTTTAAGCCCTTTAAACCCTTTACAAGCCTTACAAGCCTTATAGCCCTTCGAACCCTAAGACCCCTAAAGCTCCTAGCAAGCCCTCCTCAGTGCGGATCTGTCGAAGATTGCCAAGATCCACGACGCTGGCTGTTCAGCTGCATGTTGGTACCCCAGCCCTACACGCCCAAGACCGTGAAGGTTGAGAGTTCACGGGGTCTCTGAAGAAATCTTTGCTTTTTACAGTGATAACCAAGCTCAAACCCATAGGCGCCAAAAGGGCTTCCATGCCCCCGTGCCAGCCTTAAACTCTGATCCCTGCGGCTTAGGGGTTAGGGATCCCTCAGCCCTCAAATCCTTCAACCTTAAACCCAACCCCTAACACCTTCAACCACAACGGCCCCAAGCCCCAAAAGCCAACATGCACACTCTATACCCCCAATCTCCAATCAACACCCGGAAATACAAGGGTGTAGACCCTTAAAGGCCCGAAAGAACCCTAAACTCCAAGCCCCAAAGTCTAAACCCCAAACCCTACACCCGAAAACGTCTGGTGGAGGCCCAAGACTGCCTAAGGTGTTAGGGTTTCGGGTTTGGGGTTCAGGGTTTGGGGTTATTATTTCGGGGCCTCCTAGCTTGGATGCCGTTTAGAGTGAAGGAATCCTAGCCTCCCCTTCTTTCAGAATCGGTAAGTAAGCCCGAGTTTCAAACCATGAAGCACTGATCCCCGAAATCCACCCAAAAGCCAAAACCCCTAAACCCTAAACCCTAAACCCTAAACCCTAAACCCTAAACCCTAAACCCTAAACCCTAAACCCTAAACCCTAAACCCTAAACCCTAAACCCTAAACCCTATGTGTTTGACCTTATACCTGGTCAATGTATTGTATACCAACCCGCACTGGCGAGTACAGCCACTCATCAGGCTGCCCCTACCAATGCGACGCGCTGGCCTTAACGGCTACCAGCTTCTCACACTCCCCCCGCTCCACAGCTTATGCGAAGCAGTGCTCCCTGCTGTAACTCCCCCAGGCCCAGCAACCACCAGCAATGGCTGAGAGGTTTGCGCCACCTGGCCTCTCCATTAGGCGCTCATTGCCCCCAACCATTGGCAATGCCATGCTGTGATGCCACCCATGACCCCGACCGCCCTGGCAAAGCCACCCGCTGTGCCCGCCAGACTCTCAGCAGCCGACATGAAGTAACCCCCCACAGCTTTAGGCCACAACCACCAAGCCCACTACCAAGCGGTGTTTTGCGCAGCAGCCCGATACTTGGGCGCTCATAACCTGTGTTTGACCTGATACCTGGTCAATGTATTGTATACCCACCCGCACTGGCGAGTACAGCCACTCATCAGGCTGCCCCTACCAATGCGACGCGCTGGCCTTAAGGGCTACCAGCTTCTCACACCCTAAACCCTAAACCCCCCTAAACCCTAAACCCTAAACCCTAAACCCTAAACCCTAAACCCTAAACCCTAAACCCTAAACCCTAAACCCTAAACCCTAAACCCTAAACCCTAAACCCTAAACCCTAAACCCTAAACCCTAAACCTTGAACCCTAAGCCTTGAACCCCAAAAAACCCCCGCGATGTCCCAAAACGGCTCCTGACTTGCCCGACTACTTGAAGGTTCATGGGTAGTTGTAAGTCGGATTAGAAGCAAGGTAACCTCAACTATAACCTTATTTAGGGCACTTCTAACCCTGCTTATAACTAAAATTGAACCTTCAAGTAGGTGAAGTCCTCGACAGCGTGGAGGCGGAGAGCGTTTCGCGGAAGCACCGGGGAAACGCTGCTTGGCAGAGGGTTTGGGGTTTAGGGTTTAGGGGTTTGGGTTTAGGGTTTAGGGGTTTGGGTTTCGGGTTTCGGGTTTGGGGTTTAGGGGCGTGCTTGGCGGTAAACGGTTGAGGGTGGGCTGGTGATGACGTGGGATGCAAGGTTCTGACCGAGCTGCCTTCACCCCTGCATGTGGAGAATGCGGAGAGATGGCATTCCGAAGCCGGCGGCGATGGTATTCTTTACTCTGCGGCTCGGCAGGGTCGGCCCAGTTCCTCCCCGTTGCAGGCGGTGCTTCCTCCCACTCACATTAGGGTGTTCTACGCGAAGAAGGGACTCCGAATATAGAGCCCCCAAGACAAGTAGGATCCCACTTGAATAATTAAGGACCTCAAGAAGGTGCCCCTGGCCCCCATCACGCCCATGTCAGCGGGTGCCATTCGCTTGTGCTGTAGGCATAACCCTAAACCCTAAACCCTAAACGCTAAACCTTAAACCCTAAACCCTAAACCCGAATGTGCACAGTGAGTCAGGACTCTCAAGGAGGCAAGGTGAAGACCGGCACGGAGACCAGAAGACAGCACGAGGGTGCCTTGGCTGCCTTGGCTGGTGGAGCAGGCGCGTGGCCTCATAGCGCGGGAGGTTTAGGGTTTAGGGTCTAGGGTTTAGGGTTTAGGGTTTAGGGTGCAGCAAACACTTGCTGGTTTGATCCGGGCATTTTCTCACAGTATCAGCAGCGAAGCCCTGGAGATTTTTTTCTGTGTTGTAGGATGCCTGTAAGCAGCTGCCTCTTGCCATGCCGATGCTCGAGGCCTTGAACGTTTCAACGTTGGAGACAAGGTGTTTCCTGGCGTTCTCACTCAGCCGTGTTTTTTTGCTTCAGGTCGTGTTGTGTGTTGCTTCGGGTGAGGCTAGGATTCTTAAGGAGTCCTCTCCAAGCGAGGTTCTACGAGAGCAAGACGCATGGCCGAAAGATTGTGGCCACGGTGGAGAGAGTCACAGATGATGGTTTTTACGACCTGAAGGACGTCAAGAAGTCAGCGCATCCTTCCTACATCTCGCGATTTGTGCCGCAGCTGCAGTCGGGTACTGAAGTTTAATCGCATCGGAGGAGGACCAGTGTTTCCCATCCTCTCTAAACCTTAAAGCCTGATGGCTCCTTTTTGGTTGTAAGTAGAAGGGCTCTATAGCAAGCAAGGTCTCCAAAAAGGCACCATTACTTAGTGAGCTGATCTCATAGACCCCCTATCAACCCACCGCTGGAGGTAGAGCAGCCAAGCCCTGCCACTGCTCCGGTGGAGCCAAGTCCTGCTGCTGCTCCCCCGGCTCCTCCGCCGCGCGTTCTGCCACCAATTCTCCCCAGTGACCAAGAGGCTTGGCATGCACCCCCTGAGGCGCTGACAACCTTAAAACTTAAACCTTAAAACTATGACAGACCCCCAAACCCTACCGTAAAACCCTGATGCCCTGAGCCTGTGATTTGTTGTGAATCTGCTCTGATTGGCATACCGGATAGATGGTTTGATGTAGAGTGCACTCTACCAACGGCCAAGGACCTGCTCCCCCGGCAAGTTACCCGCGTGGTGCTGCCTCTGCAGAAAGCCTACTCGGGCAATGATGGCCTCTGAGCACGAATGTGGATGGTGTTCTCTCAGCGTGATCTCCAGTTGCATAGCCAAGACATGGCGCTCGGAACGTCGCAATTCAATCTGCGATCCATGGGCAAGTATCGGCAGAAGCATTCCGACCAAACAACTGCAGCTGGAATATCCTCATCTTTCTAACAAGAAGCTCAGTTTTGAACAAGTCACCACAAGCAGCCGTGTAGATTCTGTGTATTGCGCAGCAAGCGCGGAAATTCCAACAGCGTTGGGGTGAGGTCGCGTTGCAATGAATGCCTTGTGCTCGAGGCATCACGTGATCGAGGCTTTTGTTGCAGCAAATACTATCACGTACTGCAGCACCTATCACAGGACGCTGTGCAAGGCCAGTTGTGGAGAGTGATTGCCTGTGGATCCCTTTAGACCTGAAACCTTATGCCCGCCCAAGCCCCGATTCATGGCGGCCTAGGCTTTGCTGCGACAGACTGCAGTGGCGCCACGCCGATTGGCTTCAGCACCCCCGCCACTGCCATAGGCCCTCTGGGATTCTCCACTCCGTCGAGATATGGCGAGGCCTGCGCCCCCCCAAAAGGTGCCTGAATGTGCTGAGTGCACCTCTGAGTACTTGTTTCTTGCCAGGAACCGGCTTGTACTGTCTTTTGGGAGGGATTTTCGCCGGCCTTGACCGGCCGCACCCCAAGGTGGTCCTTTGTGGGGTCCTGGGGTGTTAGGGTTTTGCTTCATGAGCTGCCGGTGAGTTTTTCCCCTGATTTCAAGAGGACGGCTTCGGGTTTAAGGTTCAGGGTTGCAGGGCTTCGTGTTTAGGGTTTGTGGGTTTCGGGTTCAGTTTAGGGTTTCGGGTTTAGGGTTTGGGGTTTAGGGATTTAGGGTGTTAGCCTTCCAAGCTGGGGGGTTACCACCAGCTCTTCTTCCCAGGGCCGCCTCGTGAGCTGCACGACCTCGTCGCCAATCCCGGTCGGCCCACGCCCCCCGACTCCTGAGAGCGGCAGGCCCAGCGAAACCTTCGTAGCTTAGGATCCTAAAGCCCTAAAGCCCCTAAAACTCTAAACCCCTCAACCCCTAAACCCCTAGAAACCCTTAAGCAACGACCTCGAAACTCTTGAACCCCTAACTCCAAAACCCCTAAGCCCTTAAACCCCTGAAGCCCCGAACCCTTAAACCCCGAAACCCCGAAACCCTTAAGCCCTCTCAACCCTCAACCCCTCCACCCTATATGACTCGCTCCCCCCTTGGGCAGGGGCCCGACTCCGGTGACCTCCTTCTTCCCCCCCACCGTGGGCTCTGGGGGCGTGACGCCCAAGGCTTCCACTCCACAGGCTTGGCTTTAAGGTTTTTTTTTTTTGTTTTTTCGTATAGTTTTTGGCGGGTTTTTGTTTCGTTTTATTGTCTTAGTTTTATACATTTGTTTTTAATTGTTAATCTTTTTTTAATTGGGTTCCAGGGTTCCTAAAGTTTAGGGTTTCTAGTTTGTTGGATTTAGGACTGCGGGGCTCGTTGGGTACGGAGGTCTTTCGTTTCGGCTTAAGGGGCCAGCTCTTGGTTCAGAGCTTCGGGGTTCTTAAGAGTGTAGTATGGCAATGCAGCAAGGCCCGTTGGCTGGGTAAAAGTGAAGGAACTTACATGAAGTTGCCATGAGAAGAAAGCCTGTTTATCTATCAGAGCAACTATGGCAACTCATGTTCAGTTCCTGCGAGGGTGGGTCCACTTGGTGCCAATGGCTTTCACTCATTCTAGGGTGTGCATGCGAAGGATGACGCGACAAAAGCAGTTAAAGTCTTGGAAAGGAAAGCGTGAAAAGAAAGGCTCAACAAACTCAGCACATACAAAAGCAAAAGGCCGGGGGCGATTACGACTGCAGGCCGGGGTCATTCGCCTTGATCAGACAATATCTCATCGGAGAGGGGGCGCGGGTCGCGCTTGCGGGGGGGGGGGGGGGGGGGGGGGCGCGAAGGCCGGCGGGATGACGCCCATGGCTGTCACGTCGCCCCTGCCGCTATCCATCCACCCACCCATCCAGCGAAGCTTGTTGGGCATGAATCCCTAAACCCATAGGGTTCTTAACCCTAAACCCTGAACCCTGAACCCTTTAACCCTAAACCCTAAACCCTCAACCCTAAACCCTACACCCTATAAACCCTAAACCCTCAACCCGAACCCCACAACGCTGGGCCCTCCCTGCAGACCCCGGCCCAAGCAGCCGCGGCCGCGGAGATCGTTTCCCAGATTCACGGGGCCCGGGGGCCCGGCGTGGGGTTTAGGGTTTAGGGGGTTTGGGGTTTAGGGGGCTTAGGGTTTCGGGTTTAGGGTACGTGGGGTTTTGGGTTTAGGGCTTTGGGGGTTTAGAGCTTGCGGCCTAGGGTTTCGGGCTTGGGATTTTAGAGGTTTCGAGGCTCGAGAGGTTTAGGCTTCAGGGGTTGAGGCTGTGGGTGTAAGATTTTGGGTGGTTTTGGGGTCCAGGTTGTAGGGGGCCATGGTGTTTCGGGGCCCAGCTGCTTTCATGGCCTTATGGCTCAGGATTTTTATTCCGAGTCGAAGTCCGATAGGTTTCGAGATGCTTGCTGCCCTTGCATGGAGGGCCCAGATAAGTGCTGACAAAGCCCGCAGAGCCCGCCAAACTCTTCATACACTTTAGTTTAATATCACGATCCCTACCTACATTCATTCCTTGAATATCTCAGTGGATTGTATCACACAGGATAAGAGTATCCAGATCCCAGAGCCAAGAAGCCTTCAGCACTGTGCCTTGGCCCTCCCTCAAGAAAGGCCTTGCCAAAGTGGAAGGGAGAGCTTCGCTAAGAAGCCAGGCTCTGAACCCGAGAGCCCCCAACCCTCCCTGAAACCCTTAAACCCTTCACATGAACCTGAGCCCCACCCTTAACCCTTAACCCTAAACCCTACACCCTCGCGGCTGAAGCCTCCGCAGACTCGTGAGGAGCTGCGGGTGGGCCCCGGTGGCTTTAACCCGCGCGTGATCCAGGCGGGGAGCCGCCACGCCTGGGTTTTAGGACCCCAGCTTGCGGCAGCGGTCTATCGACCTCGAACTTTTTTCCGGTTTCGGACCCCAACCCCTAAGACCTCTAGGGCCCGGAGATCCGAAACCCGAGCCCTGATCCTGGCCCACCACGGTCCTCGACTCCCCAACGCGAGGCCCGCAAGCAGAACTGTGGGAGGCAGAACGAGTACGAATCAGTTTGCATCAGCTTGTAACCCCTAGCCAGTATATGACCTACAGTCCACTCGTCCATCTCAGGCCCCCTCATATGGCTCCAAAGCCTAGGAACCTCCAAACACCAAGAATTCATACCCCTAAGCTCGCAGATCCGGACCCAGCTGGTCCAGCAGCTGGGTCTTCCCAGCCACGCGCAGATCCAGGCAAGTGAATGATGTGGGAAGGTCTGAGGATTTAGGGTGATTCAGGGTTTATATATACGGTCTCTTCCTTTCTGTAAGGAGATCCTCGTTGAATACACCTAAGGGTTCTTTCATACAAGGTTTGTGTGGGTTTGGGGTCGAGGGTTCAGGAGCTTATAGGCTTCAGAGCTTGCAGCGAGTAACTGACACATCCTTCAAGAAGGGGCGTTGCCTTTGTACCTTGTTTAAGGCGTGTCGGTTACCCAGGAGGGTTCTGTACAGTTGCAGCATGTTGCAGCTCTAGGGGCTCGAAGGCTCGTGGAGGTTTAACGGCCATGATTATGAGCTCTTCAGAGCAGCCTTATGGATACTGGGCATACTTGCCTGCTCTTAAGGTTAGCTTTCTCTAGGGCGAAGGTTTTTTTTGGGTTTGGGGCTAAGGGTTTTGAGATTTTTGTTTGACTTTGGACTCAAGATGTAGGGGTCTTGAAGGTATGTGTTGCGCTAAGCAACCAAATCTAAACCCCCAAGCGCGAGCACCCGAAACCCTAAGCCCCCCCCCCCACGAACCGCCGTGTAGTTTCAGTGCTGCTGGCGGGTTAGTCCCGATGATGCGCCGGTTCACAGAGCAGTAGAGCTCAGCTGCTCAAGTACAGACAGCGCCGAGTAAACCCTGAATCGCCAAGGCACCCCCCAACTCCAAAAAAACCCCAACCCAACTCCCCTCCCCGGCCCAAGAAAAAACAAGCAATCAATTGAGCCTGCACCACACGAGAGGATGCCTCCAACCGTGAACCCACAAAACCCCGGACCCAGGAGATGTCTGGCTTCAAGGGCGGCCTGAACCAGGGCATCTGGCTGGTCAACGGGGGGACCGAGCTGGTCTTGAAGCAAGTGAGGCTTAGAGGGCTTTCGTGGGGGGGGGGGGGGTGCGGTTTAGGTTTGAGGCCTCTCAGGCTTCAGGGTTTCGGAGCTTTGCTTGAGTGAGCAACTGTGAGATTACTCCGACTTGTTGCCTGAGGACACATTGCTTTTCCTTGAGTCACTTGTGTGGGTCTGCCGACGTCTTTGTGCTGCCACTACCGCAGAACGAACTGTTGCTTTGCCCAGTGTCAGTGTGTTGCCATGAAGCATGAATCTTGCGGCGCGTTCTCCGCAGATCTTTGGGAAGGCATCGCAGAAGCCTCCTTGCACCGAATAAGCAGAGTTGTAGAAATGGAGTCTGTGCCTCTGCTTTCCCTGGCCATGAGGTGTGCACGCGTTGCCAGCAACGTCCTCACCGAAGCCGAGAACTTCATCAGGGTAGTTAAGGAACATCCAGAGACGCTTCGGCAGCAAACTTTGAGACAAGAGTCTCCAGTGTTTTGAGGACTAGACGTAGCAACTTAGCCACGCGTGAACGCAAAATTTTGTCTGTTCAGCATGATCACACTCTTGTGGTGATATATATATATCTCTTTATATCTAGATGGATAACAGTATTACTCAATTAATATATATATATAGGCTACTCAAGGTACACCGAGTTTCATGGGGTTGTACGATCTTACGACTGAGGATCGTCCAGGATCCAGCGGTTGCCTTCCCGGTGCTGCTCGGCGTGGAGATGCGAGTATCTAGGGTTTAGGGTTTTGGGTTTAGGGATGAGCGCGGTTGCAGCATGCATCCGAGTGCAGAGAAGCAACGTTCTGTCAGCACAATCAGTCGTCGGGCCTATTTCTCAAGCCTGTGCTGTTGATGGGTCCATTGCCAAATCAAGGAAGATCTTCAGCTGCGTAGGCGCGGCCTGTGCCATCATGGTCTTCCCGGAATCCTTCGCCCCAGGAACCAGGAAGTTCTCGACCTCGAACTGTACAGTCTAGCCTCAGACTGGAGTATATACTTCTGTACTTCCTTGTTTGTCTCTATTATAGTGCATTCCTTATTGTCTAGGGTGCGATTGGCCCCCCCTAAGCCCTAAGCCTTAAGCCCCAAGCCCTAAACCCTAAACCCTAAACCCTAAGCCAATGAAGACCCCTATCAATTTTTGCAGGCGACGACCGGCGGCCAGTGAGCGACTTGATCGTCATGAAGAAGAGCCGGGGTGAAAGGCCTCAACTCCATACGCGGTTTGAACGCCAAACTAGGGTTTAGGGTTTAGATTTAGGGTTTCGGGTTTAGGGTTTAGGGCTTCGGGGGTGCTTCCCACACCTTCGACCCTGAGCCCTAAGGCCCTAAAGACCCCTGGTGCTGGTAGGGTGGGTGGCTGCAGGGTCAAGGATGGTTAAGGTCATTTCGGGCTGGGAACGGAGCGCCGGGATGCCAGCGGATCTTTAGAACCAGTTGAAAACCTGCTAGTCCTTAACGCAAGCATGCTAATCATGTGTCACATGCAGCTCATCTGTCACATGCAGTTCAAGGTTGTCAACCCCGGGAAAGGCCAGCCCCTATGAGTACCCAACCATGCTCATGATGCTCCTCTTTTTGGCAGAGGGTTTCTCCAACTACGTGCTGCCCGCCCTGGACACCCCCATCGAAAGAAGCTAGAGGCAGGGCTTTGAAGGCCGCACGATGTTCATGATGCTTTCGTCTTTTCGGAAGACTCACCAGAGCTGCTGCCCAATGCCGCTTGTCCCATGATGCTTGCCCCTTTTCGGCACCCAGCGCTCCCATCAAATGTCATGCCCCATGAAGAATTGTCCGCCACGGCGCGTGCGTACTCGAAACCACTCCCGCAGCCTGCAGCAACGTCTGCAGTTTAAGGGCCCCGGGCATTGCGGCCAGGCTGAATCAAGCTTGCAGAGCTAAGCTGAAGTCCCTCAGTGCCTTGGTGTAGATGAAGGGATAGGCTCCTCCCCTCAATTCCATACCGACACCGGCAGCTCATAGTCTTGGGCCACGGGAGGCTGTGCGAGTACGTGGCGACCAAGTTCTACGCAAGCTGGCCCGGGATGTTTGAGAGCCCCATTTTTTCGGGGACTTTTCCGGAACCCTTCCTTTAAGCAGGTGGAAGGCTCTGCTTAAGCCTAACAACCCCCCACATACCTGTCGTGCCGTCGTGCCGTCGTGCTCAGGCGAACCAGGTGCCACAGCTGTGCATAGCCATGGAGGCCAAGCGCCTGCGCTGACTGTTGAGAACACTCCCTCCCCACCCACAACAAAACAGCACCCCAAGCCCAAACCCCAAAACTAAAGCCGGGTTGGAGGCGGTTGGTCGGACCCTGCACACCTTCCACGACCGCCGCTTGGGCCGTGCTCTAGGCTTGGAGGTTCCGGATTTTTGGGGGGCTTGGGGGTTTGGAAGGGTCATGGTTGTGGGTTCAGGGTTCCGGGCGGGCAATTTGAGTTGGGGGCTTTCGGATTGGTGCGTTTTCCAAACTCAGGGCTATCTGGCTCACCATGCAGTTGGACCTAGAGGCGGTCGAAACTTGGCGTTTGGGCTTCGAGCTGCAACCCAGGCTACGGCCACCAGCAGCACGGTGACTTCCAGCCCTCCAATATCTACTATGACGAGAGCACGAACTCCGTGTCCTTCATTGATGCCAGAGGCTAAAGACAGGGTCTCTCCATCAAGGGAGGGCTTCGAGAGAAAGGGCGGCACAGAACCACCAGCGAAACCGAGGTCGGGGGAATGGGAGTCCCGACCACTGGCAACGACCTCGAGCACTTCCACCAGTGCGTGGCAGCCTCGTTGTGTGTCCTTGCATGTACGAACATGATTGGACATGTACACAGCTGCATCTAGTTGGCCTCCCTCATTTTCCATGCCTTTGAGATGCGGTCGATGACCATTGGGTATGACCCACAGCTTCACGTGGATCTACTCAGCTCCTTCAGCAAGGCCAGAGAGTTTCCCCGAAAGGTGCTTTGATCTAGACAGCGCTGTTCCGGACAAGAGGCTCTGCTAGTGCCAAAGCTGAGCTCTTGACTGTCCCACCTGTTCAGGGCTACCAGTCCTCGCCCCTGCATCAGGCTGGTCGGGCCGGCAGGGATCATCTTGATTTGGGGCCTCTAGGACACAAGACACAGCCTTCTTAAGCAGCCGAGCTGGAGAGCTGTATGCATACTCCAGATGCTTGAAGCAGCCCCTCCTTGAACCCTAAACTCCAAACCTGAAACCCTAAACGCCACCTTCCCAACCGTGAGGGCTTCGGAATGGCGCCGTGAGAAGCATGGCGTCGCATTCCCAGGGCCGACACGGGCCGCCGAATCCTTTCCATGAGCCTCACAGTCCCTTTCCCCCGAGCGAGTCAGATACTAGAAGCTCCTCTGAACCGTTCTCAGAAGCACTTGGCATGCCGCCAAGAGCATCTTCAAGATAGAAACCCTGCAACGGGGGTTCGCCTCCACGCGCTTCTGTTTGGAACCCATGGTCCAGCCCTAAATCCTTAAACCGCAGGGGGAAGGAAAGCTTGGAGGACTTTTTCAGTTTTGGCCTGCCCACCAGAAGGAGACTGCAGGCCAACGCGATCTGCATGGCCTTTACGTGAGGCAGGGCCTACGAGCCCGCTGATTCTCCTTCCAGCTTGCGTACATGCCCGGGTCGCCGTTCTAAGGAGTTTGGGGCCCAAACAGGGGCCCATGCTTCAAACTCCAAATAGCCATAAATAGCCCTGCATCTCTTTGGTGTTGATTCCGATCCTTGCCTTCTTCTGTAGCACGTGCATGTTCGCAGTGAGGACTCTATGCGTGATCGTAGTTACGCAGGAGTTCTTGAGGGAGATGCCACCGGGACCTGCATGGTGAAAGCCTACGGTCCCGCGGCTGGTTTGCGAAGAGCATCATGCTTGGAATTTCTCTTCACAAGAACAGATGAGAGAAAGCACCCGCAAGGGTGCACTTTTCTGCAGGCACCTGAATTCGAGCGCCATATACGTGGCCCGAAATAGCACTGCAGGGCCACTCCTAAAGCCGCAGAACCTCAACAACTAGTCTGTACCCTGTTGGGCTATGGCACCATAGCTCAGAGAGCTGGCAGTGCAATGTCTGAAGAGTTATGTGCCTGAGGCCCTGAGAGCCCTAAACCCTAAACCCAAAACCCTCTGAAAACCGAAGCCTACCATTTGGACTGCCCTGCAGCGCCTTGCACATGAGTTTTTTAGCTTAGCCTTGGCAGCCCCCCTGCTCCCTTAAGAGCCCCTCAGGCCGGGAAGGGGCCTGACACGAGAAGGAAAACCTGGCGCCGCTGCTGGGTTCAGGGTTTAGGGGTTTGGGGTTTGGGGTTTGGGGTTTTCGAGGGTTGTGAGTCTAGGGGTTTGGGGGCTAGGGTTTCTTAGGTGATGCTTGTAGGGCTCGTTTCTCTTTGGAATGCTCTCTCCTACATGGCTGGCTCAAGTGAGATGAGAGCAGGGCACCCACGCATAACTCAATGCCTATCGGAGCTCCCGAACCTGCGGCAGTTCGTGGCAGCGTTAAGTATCGTCAGGCTTTCGGGAGCTTAAGTTATGCAGAGTTTAGGGGTTGAGGTTCACCCGAAACCTTAAGCCCGAAAATCTGGTTGGTAAGGAGACACAAGGTCTGTGGGTTGGACAAGGGGCCCGCACGAATATCGGTAGTCGTGGTCGCCGTTCCATCGAGCCCCACAGCCAGTGCCCTGGAGGGCACTGGCGGCGCAGCCTGGCATGTCCAAGCTGGATGAATTCCTGGACGAGATTGTCAAGGCGCGGCAGGTTCAGGAGATGCTTCGGGGTGGGGATTGTCCGAAGTGAGTTGACTGCTGAAATAACAACAAGGCGCTCACATAAGGTGACAGGTCGCAAGCTCTTCTGGCAACTGGCTACAGAAACAGGAGTTCTTGCTGTTTGTGTTCATCGCTACGCCGGCTCCGAACCTTACACCCAAAACTTACCCCAAACCGCCTAAGCCTCCACCCCCATGATTTGGGATGTTCCCCCTTGTACTAACAGTCCTTCATAGGGAATATAGGGGGTAGTAGAATCCCGATTAAGGACTGTTCGTATCAGGGGGAACATCCCAACTCATGATCCTTTCAAAGAGGTGCACATGAAGCAGCTCGATCCGGAGTCCATAGTCGAGGAGGAGGTGTCCGCTCCCGCCGCTTGGATGCCGTGGCGGGTTATGGGAGTTCGGCGCCCGGGTTTCGAAGTTCCGGGCTCCAGGTGTTGGGAGCTTAGGAGTTGGGAATGTCAGGGCTCAAGGAGCTGTCGCTTTCCTGACTGCCATGTACCAGGGAATCCCTGCTTTTTTTTTTGTTGTTGTGGGCAGGGGGGGTTTAGGGTTTAGGGTTTAGGGTTTAGGGCATGAAGCATGAGGTGCCAACAAATTGCGCGGATTTGCCATGTCGAGCTTGCAGGTCAGCTGGTCGGAGATGGCTGGCGCCTTACAGAGCGGGATGGCAGGGCCGTAGAAGCGCATGGGCCCAAGGTTTTACCCCCCAAACCCCTAAACTCTTAAATACCCCTAAACCCCCTAAGCCCCTAAGCCCCTAAACTCCTAAAACCCCTAACCCCCTCCGTAGCCCTAAGCCCTCAGCCCCAAATTCGTCTCCAACTTGCAGGGGCAGCTTTGCTCTGGGAAGTGCTACGAAACAGCTACGAAACAGCTGAAAGAGTAAGGTTCTGTATCTCGCTCTCTCTCTCTCTCCCTCTCCCTCTCCTCTCTCTCAATATGTATATATAGACATTTATATGTGTATATTTTTTCGACATGTATAAATACATGTAGGGGAACATCAGGCCTCAGCAGCCTGAGCGGGCTCAGCGGCCTCAGCAGCCTCAGCGGCCTGAGCGGCCTCAGCGGCCTGAGCGGGCTCAGCGGCCTGAGCAGACTCAGCAGGCTGAGCGTCCCCCAGCGGCCTGAGTGGCTTCAGCGGCCTCAGCGGCTTCAGCGGCCCGAGCGGCCTGAGCGGCCTGAGCGGGCTCAGCGGCCTGAGCAGGCTGAGCGTCCCCCAGTGGCCTGAGTGGCTTCAGCGGCCTGAGCGGGCTCAGCGGGGCTCAACAGCCTCAGCGACTTCAGCAGCCTGAGCGGCCTCGATCAGCGGCCTGAGCAGACTCAGTGGGCTGAGCGTCCCCCAGCGGCCTGAGTGGCTTCAGCGGCCTGAGCGGGCTCAGCGGGCCTCAACAGCCTCAGCGACTTCAGCAGCCTGAGCGGCCTCAGCGGCCTGAGCGGGCTCAGCGGCCTGAGCAGACTCAGTGGGCTGAGCGTCCCCCAGCGGCCTGAGTGGCTTCAGCGGCCTGAGCGGGCTCAGCGGCCTCAGCAGCCTCAGCGGCTTCAGCGGCCTGAGCGGCCTGAGCGGCCTGAGCGGGCTCAGCGGCCTGAGCAGACTCAGCAGGCTGAGCGTCCCCCAGCGGCCTGAGTGGCTTCAGCGGCCTGAGCGGGCTCAGCGGGCCTCAACAGCCTCAGCGACTTCAGCAGCCTGAGCGGCCTCAGCGGCCTGAGCGGGCTCAGCGGCCTGAGCAGACTCAGTGGGCTGAGCGTCCCCCAGCGGCCTCAGCGGCCTGAGCGGGCTCAGCGGGCCTCAACAGCCTCAGCGACTTCAGCAGCCTGAGCGGCCTCAGCGGCCTGAGCGGGCTCAGCGGCCTGAGCAGACTCAGTGGGCTGAGCGTCCCCCAGCGGCCTCAGCGGCCTGAGCGGGCTCAGCGGGCCTCAACAGCCTCAGCGACTTCAGCAGCCTGAGCGGCCTCAGCGGCCTGAGCAGGCTCAGCGGCCTGAGCAGACTCAGTGGGCTGAGCGTCCCCCGCAGCGGCCTCAGCGGCCTGAGCGGCCTCAGCGGGCTCAGCGTGCCTAATTCTCGGAAAGCCCATATTGGAACTAACTAGTTGGGGGCAGGCTGAAGGACGGGAGCCTGCAAGTGTCGCCAGGCCTTTATCGGAGTGCCCCGTGGATGCAAGCACAGCTCTTTTTAGCAAGTTGCATGTCCAGAGGTTACCTAGGTTCAGGTCTCGAGGGGTTAGCGCGTGGGGTCTGGTTCTCTCTCTGCGATAACTGGACAGAGGCTCAATGACGCACGCTGGTGGCTTTCCACGGTAGCAGTAGCTTGCATCGTTGCAGCGGCAGTCAGGGGGGAAGTGGTTGGGACGCAGACCAGGATTTTGCTGCTGGTGTGCTACATCGCTGCAGACTACCTGCCACTTCGTCCGCACTGAACCATCGGCGAGCTTCAGGCATTGCGACCCACACCGCCATGCGAGATTCCCGAAGCCTGTGCCAAGGTATCCGTACTTCGAGACCTACGTGCTTCGCCACTGGTCTCAGGCTCTGTGTAAGGTCAACCTGGCAGTTTGCTCTGCGCACCTTACATCCTAAACCCCAAGCCTTACAGTTCCGTCGCCCTGACCCTGAACCTTAAACCCTAAAACCCTGAAGCTCCTGGGGCACGAACGATCAACCCATATGCATGGGGAAAAACTCCAAGCCCCCAAGACCCGCCCGCTGACAATTGGCCAGTTCTCTCAACTATGGTGCGATTTCTGGCGTGTTGTCTTCTAGGAGGTACCACAGACCCAATTTAGAGGACTGAGTCGTCCCAAGGCAAGAAGAAGAAGCGCCCTCTCCCAAAGTCAGCGGGGCCGCGAAAGAAGGGCTGAGCCCTCCGTCCTGGGCCCTTGGGAGCTATACGCAGGGTTTCACAAGATATTCATTACGCTGATGACAAACGCTTGCCGTTATTACTGCTACTGCTACTGCTGCTGACCTACTACTAGTGTTGCGCTGAAAACTGTAGAGTATGTGTATATTTCTACATATATATACATGGTCTCGGGCTCCCGGGCCCTACCCCTCCGGCCATGGTATCCCCCCTTCATGGAGTCCCCCCCCCTCCCCAACATGAACGATAAGACAAGGGGGGGTTGGCAGCCCGACACCATGTATATGGCACCCCTCCAGTTATCCACTTATTTAGGTTAACTTAGGTGTAGGCCTTTAGTACCTGTCTTTTATATGATAATATTCTTTTTTATATTCTATTCTTAGACGGATGCGGGTTCCATTATAAGGCTACTTTTACACCTTATACTCTTGGGGAGGGGTTGTATAAGGTACTTTTGTACACTTAGACGGCTACGTGTTGTATAAGGTTACAGGGTTTGACTAGTAAGGCTGAGTTTTTGCATGTAAGATTCAGTCTGAGTTCTTTTTTATTCTGGAAATTCCGGAGCACATAGGGATCTAATTCTCGGCCTTTCGAACAGTCGCTAGCAAGTCGCGCAGCTTCTTCTGGTCCTTCACATCCGGTAGCCCTCCTAACCGATAACTCAATTCCGCACTATTCATCTTGATGGACAATCTTTATTCTGAAGCATTGTGGGAAGCTTTTTGATGGTAAGGGCTTTGGTTTAAACCTTTAGTGTTTTATGGACAACCTGTAAGTCTGTGGCGTTGAGGGAAGCTCGTTGACGATTCGGTGAATTTCTGGTTGCAGCCCGAGGTTTGTAGCAGTAAAGTTGAGGTAGTTTTCTATTAAACAAGCAATGCTTACGAATAGGGTTTAGGGTTTTGGAAGAAAGGCTGGTTGTTTAGGCCTAGACGAATATGCTTCAGGGGTTGGTTCAGTACGTTCTTTCACGTTTATCGAGAATGACTAGAGACAATGTAAGGTTGAGGAAGAGTGTGTAGGCCAAAACATTGAGCGTGCACCCCACAGGCACCCGAAGCATCATTCTTAAACATGATTCGTTCAAAGTATGGTCTGGGCTCTTGTGAATTTTCTTTCGTGGCTCGGGAAGATGTATAGAAGGTTTAGGAATCCTGAACCTGTAGCAAAAAGGGTTTATGGGAATAGGGCTTCGGCCTAAACATAAACCTAAAACCCTAAAGTCTAAAGCCTAAACCCCAAACCCGCCGAGGCACCCGAAGCTTCATTATTCTTAAGCATTCCTCGTTGAAAGTATGAGAATAGGGTCTGGGCCTACGTTAATCGAATCGTGTCCGGGAGTTTCCTTCATGTTTAGTGGAACTCTTTAGGGTTTCAGCCAGGAATAGAGTTTAGCCACTTGGCCTGCTTGTTCAACTTGCTCAGCCTCGCTCGCATTCTGAATCAATCCCGGGAACCTCATTCCTTTCTCTCGGCTTTCGTTGCCTCCTACCCTAAACCCTAAACCCTAAACCCTAAACCCTAAACCCTAAACGCTAGAATCAAGTCCTTTAAAGCCTAAGCCCTGTTTTGTAGATACGCCTCGGATCTAAGACTCAAGGTTCAAGATGGCCAGGGAAGCTTGGCTTTGCATCTCGACTCTCGGATCCGCTCGAAATCTGAATGAAACTGAAATATGTAAATGAATAAGGATTTAGGGTTTAGGGTTTAGGGTTTAGGGTTTAGGGTTTAGGGTTTAAGGACGGCAGGGATTCAAGATACCGAGCAAAGATTCCCCCAGACTTCAGCCTCATAGCATGGTATACATTCAGGTCCGGAATCCCAAAAAGGTAGATCGCAGGTGGTGGGTGGGGGGAAGGCGGGGGGGGGGGGGGGGGGGGGGGGGGTAGCGTATATATATATATATATATATATATATATATATACATACACATGTCCACCTACAGTAACTTACACCTACAGTGTACATTGTATGTTGCAAGCTATATAATGTGTGTTATTACTAACAGTAAATGGTGTATTGCTCTATGCAAGATACCATATAACACAAAATAGTGCCGTGCAAAAGAATATAACTTCCCTCGCGCAGCTGTGCACATAGAAGCCCTAAACCCTAAACCCTAAATCCTAAAGCCTTAACCCTAAACCCATAACCCTAAACCCTAAACCCTAAACCCTAAACCCTAAACCCTAAACCCTAAACTCCCAAGCGTAAGCACCAAGGGCCCTACTTGTCGGGGGCAGTTCGCCTCGGGCTCTGCCCGGCTAACGACGCAGCTGCTGGCTGCTTCTAGAAGTGGCCGGCAATGCGCAGAGTTGTTGGGGGGTTTAGGGTTTAGGGTTTAGGGTTTAGGGTTTAGGGTTTAGAGTTTAGGGTTTAGGGTTTAGGGTTCAGGGTTTAGGGCGCATTCGTCGGCCTCAGTGCGTGAAGGAGGCAGGCTTCTGACACAGACCTTAGGCGGCTCATTTCTTCGTGTGCTAGTAGGACTTTGGGCAAGGTCTTAAACTCGAGGGTATGATACCTGGCAGAAAGGCAGGAAGGATTGTTAAATGTAGCACCGGAGGCCGACTGCAGCGAGCACATCGCAGTGTTTGCGGCTAGATGCGCCTAGGAAGGGCGGTCGGCATGCACGGTTGCCGTCGCCCTAATCACTCGCTCCGGCTCAGATCGCCAGATCTCCGAGAGAAAAAAGAGCCAGCACATCTCTCAGCCCTAAACCCCTGGCACCCTCGAGACTGGCTTGTTGCGACTCCCATCCTAATCCCCTTTCCATGGACATTTGAGTTGCCTTGGCTCAGGAGAATCCTCCCCAATCCTAAAACCCTGGCTTCGTTGCTCAAGGTCACTCGTGCTTGCGCTTGGAAGGCATCACTAGGGTGGCCATGAGCTTGAGCAAGTCTTTGCACTGGGCCTCAACTCCCCCACCAAACCCTCGGACCCTCCGGACCCCAAAAACCCTGACGTCGGCTGTCGACCCGGTAGCTTTCTTGGCCCTGAGACCGAATTCCCTAAACTTTGGGCTGTTCCCCCTTATACCAAGCAGTCCTTAACAGGGATTCTCGTACCCCCCATTATATCGTCCGTATCGGACACTGTAGTATTCAGGGGGAGCATCCCAACCGAAGCTTCCTAAAGCCCATCATCGGCATGGCCGATGAGAGCCTTTGCGGAGCCCGGCGGCATGCGCTGCGCACCAGGCATGGGGTTTCAGGAGTGTAGGGTTTTTGGGTTTTGGGTTTAGGGTTTAGGGTTTGGGGCTTAAGGTTTTCGGGTTTAGGTTTTGGGGTTTGGGGTTTAGGGTTTGGGGTTTAAGGCTTCGGGTTTAGGGTTTAATGTCCATGTTTGCGTCGCCTCCCCCGCCAAAAGAACAAGCCCCCAACATGTTACATGTAAACTCACGGCCCACCGGGACCAATGTCGTCACTGTCTTACATATTCCGGTGTTCGTGTGCGGACTCTGTATGGAAGGCGGCTGAGGGCAAACCCGCAGCCCTCTTTGATGTAGATAGTCAGCCGACCTTCTGGTCATCCAGGACAGGACTGTGTGCGTGCGAGCGGCGAGCGCTTCCACCGTGTGTGTGCTCGTGGCCCATGGGGTCTGCAGGATGGTAATGGGTTGGCAGTGGCTCTCTCGAGGTCTTGGGCTCTTTGCAGACTACGCCTTGAAGCCCGGAACGCTGTCAAGAACCCTAACTAAGCCCCCCAACTCCGAAACCTTGAGCCTCGAAAAAATCTATGCTCCCCAAGACCTTTCGCAAACCTCCTACAACACCTCCAGCCCTAAGCCCCCTCAACCACCTTCGTAGCTTAGGATCCCCAAACCCTAACCCCTAAACCCCTAAACCCCTAAACCCCTAAACCCCCTAAGCCCTAAACCCTAAACCCTAAACTGGGGGGGAGGCACGTGGCGTCCATGGCCTTCGCCATGACCTGCGCAGGGCCTTTTGGTGTGGAGGCCATGCTTGGGGTTCAGGGTTTAGGGTTTAGGGTTTAGGGTTAGGGTTTAGGGTTTAGAGTTTAGGGTTTAGGGTTTATGGTTTAGGGTTTAGGGTTTAGGGTTCGGGGTTTAGGGTTTAGGGTTTGGGGTTTAGGGTTTAGGGTTTAGGGTGCAAGGATTTGAGACCCCCAAAACCCAAAACCCTAACTCCCACAAGGTCCCAAAAACCCCAAACCCAAAACCCCTAAACCCCGTAAAACCCCAAAACCCTAAAACCCCTAAAACCCCTAAACCCCTAAACTCCTAAACTCCTAAACCCCCTAAACCCCCTTAAACCCAACACACCCCCCAGCCAAAACGGGCACCGTCCCTCCCAGGCCTGCGTGCGCACGGCGGGGGCCCCTGCTTGCTTCCTGGGCCTGCTGGCGACCCTGCTGGGCCTCGGGCCCCAGCAGAAGGAAGTAGGATTTGGGTTTCTCAGGGTTCCAGTAGGGTTTCAGTAGGATTGATTTAGGTTCGAAGGCCCCAGCAGAAGGAAGATGTTTGGGTTTTCAGGATTCCAGTAGGAGCCCCAGCAGAAGGAAGATGTTTGGGTTTCTCAGGGTTCCAGTAGGGTTTCAGTAGGATTGATTTAGGTTAGAAGGCCCCAGCAGAAGGAAGATGTTTGGGTTTTTAGGGTTCCAGTAGGAGCCCCAGCAGAAGGAAGATGTTTGGGTTTCTCAGGGTTCCAGTAGGGTTTCAGTAGGATTGATTTAGGTTAGAAGGCCTCAGCAGAAGGAAGATGTTTGGGTTTTTAGGGTTCCAGTAGGAGCCCCAGCAGAAGGAAGATGTTTGGGGTTGTAGGGTTCCGGTAGGCTTTCAGTAGGGTTTTTGTTTAGGCCTAAGTTTCTGGGTTTAGGGTTCAGAGATGGGCTTAAGTAGGGTTGCAGTATAGGGTTCGGCAGGGGGATTCTGCAGCGTACTCCGGAACTTTGGGCTTTGGAGTTTAAGGCTTCTTTGATTTGATTTAAGGTCTTGCTGGTAAGGGCCTTTTGCTGGTGGCAAGCCAAGGGTCTTTGGGCCTTCAAGGGCATCGCTCAAGCTGAGCAGGCTACGTCCTGCCGCAGATCCTGATGACCAGTGAGCTGGCCATGATGCCTCCCTTGAGCAACGGCGGTGTTACTGCCTGGGTGGCCCGGGCCTTCGGCACCCGGGTCGGGGAGTGCGTGGGGCTGAACATGCTCCTGCAACCTGGCCCAGGATGTAGGACATGGGCTTTAGGGTCCCTAAACCCTAAACCCCAAACCCTCGGGTTTTCAGGTCGACCTTGAGGGTTGAGGGCCAAGCATTTCTTCAAGGTATCAAATTGTCGACCTGGCCACCTACACGACGGTGGTCACCGGCTATGCGCAGTCTGGCGGCTACGAGGCGGGGCTTCCATAGCGGGACGGAGAGTTGGGCTCCGTGTCAGTTCCTAAACCCTAAACTCTAAACCCTACACCCCCAAAATGACCCTTAACCCTAAACCCTAAACCCTAAGCCCTAAACCCTAAACCCTAAACCCTCAACCCTAAACCCCAACAAGAAACCCTAAACCCTAAGCCTAAACCTTTAACTTAAACCCTCAAGCCTAAGCCCTCTCCAAGTTCGTTGTTCAGATCCGCAACTACCCGAAACCCGGCCAGGTGCCCAGCTGGCTGCCTGCGGTCGTGCCTTTCTTCGTGATCCTCCTGGGCCTCGGGGTCCGCCACTCCAAGTTAGGGTTGAGGGTTTGGGGTTTAAGGTTAGGGGTTTAGGGTTTAGGGTTTAGGGTTTAGGGTTTACGGTTTAGGGTTCAGCATCTCATGTCCAAGCCTTCACTAGTCAAGCAGCTTGTCAAGCGTTGGAAAAAAACCCCACCCACCCAAGAAACCTATAACATTGAGAAAATACAAAGTTCAATCAATACATTTTCAGTAGGCTTATAGGTCAAAAGCCCGCCCAAAACCTAATCTAACTTTTTGGAAGCAAAACAGAACGTGACATCCTGAAGCCGGTGAAGCTCGGTTTTGGTCAAAAATCCAGGGCCCCCCCGGGTGGAAAAAAACCATTTGGTCACGAAAGGGGGTCAGGGTTTAGAGCCCCCCCCGGGTGGAAAAAAACCATTTGGTCACGAAGGGGGTCAGGGTTTAGGGCCCCCCGGGGTGGAAAAAAACCATTTGGTCACGAAGGGGGTCAGGGTTTAGGGCCCCCCCGGGGTGGAAAAAAACCATTTGGTCACCAAGGGGGTCAGGGTTTAGGGCCCCCCGGGTGGAAAAAAACCATTTGGTCACGAAGGGGGTCAGGGTTTAGGGCCCCCCCGGGTGGAAAAAAACCATTTGGTCACGAAGGGGGTCAGGGTTTAGGGCCCCCCCGGGTGGAAAAAAACCATTTGGTCACGAAGGGGGTCAGGGTTTAGGGCCCCCCCCGGGTGGAAAAAAACCATTTGGTCACGAAGGGGGTCAGGGTTTAGGGCCCCCCCGGGTGGAAAAAACCATTTGGTCACGAAGGGGGTCAGGGTTTAGGGCCCCCCCGGGTGGAAAAAAACCATTTGGTCACGAAGGGGGTCAGGGTTTAGGGCCCCCCCGGGTGGAAAAAAACAATTTGGTCACGAAGGGGGTCAGGGTTTAGGGCCCCCCGGGTGGAAAAAAACCATTTGGTCACGAAGGGGGTCAGGGTTTAGGGCCCCCCCCGGGTGGAAAAAAACCATTTGGTCACGAAGGGGGTCAGGGTTTAGGGCCCCCCCGGGTGGAAAAAAACCATTTGGTCACGAAGGGGGTCAGGGTTTAGGGCCCAAAGGCTCGGTTTTGATCAAAAATCCAGAAAACGAGAGCCCACCCAGAAGCGTCGATTTCAATACTAAAAAATCGCATTTTGAACTGGGACCCGGGCCGATCCTGGGGTCCCCCTCATTTGGGGTGTTTTTGGAGGCACGGCCCAGGAAAAAAACCATTTGGTCACGAAGGGGGTCAGGGTTTAGGGCCCAGAAAAAAAAACAACATGGTCACGAAGGTCATTAGGGTTTAAATATACATAGTAAGAGAGGGTTTAGGGTTTAGGGTTTAGCGTTTGGGGTGTAGGTTCCGAGGATTCCAAGAAGGACTGGGCTTCCCTCTTCGATGCCTAAACCCTAAACCCTACACCCTAAGCCCTAAACCCTAAGCCCTAAGCCCTAAGCCCTAAGCCCTAAGCCCTAAGCCCTAAACCCTAAACCCTACAACCACCCGGAGCCACCGGAAGAACCTGGTTTCGGGTTTAGGGGTTCAGGGGTTCAGGGGTTTCAGGGGTTTAAGGGGTTCAAGGGGTTTAAGGGGTTCAGGGTTCAGGGGTTTAAGGGGTTTAAGGGGTTTAAGGGGATTAAGGGGATTAGGGGGTTTAGGGGGTTTAAGGGGTTTAGGGGCTTTAAGGGCTTTAAGGGCTTTAAGGGTTTTAGGGGGTTTAAGGGGAGGTGAACCTCTTGGCCCTGGACGCGGCCACGGAGATGCTGGGTGCGGCGCTGCTTCTGGTGCTGCAGCGCGGCTTTTTGGGTGCTGACATAGGGATCTTACAATACATCGTATACACATGTATAATGTATAATGCGTAGAGAAGGGCTTTGGGGTTCTTGCAAATTTCAGTGTTCACAGGTGTGTTCCAGCCGCTGGACAGCGCTTCCCCCGCAAGCCGAGGCTTCCGTTTGTGCTGGGCGTGCCCCTGGCGCTGGGCAGCGAGCCCGTGGCTTGGGCCTTGGCCTCCGGGCAGCAGGCCGCCACCACCTCTGCACCGGAAGGAGATGTGAATCTCTTCCTCTCGTCCTTGGTGTGGCTCTTCACGGGCTGGGACTCTTTTGGGAACCTGGCGGAGGACGTGGCCGAGCCCCGCCATCTTGTGAAGGGCATGCTGGTTGCAGCTCTGATCGCCCTGGCTGTGTACTTCGCCTGCACATTCGGGGCTTTGGCTGCTGGACCTGGGACGTGGCAAGATGGCTACCTCGCCTCGGCTTATGGGAAGCTGTGGCGCCCGCATTTCGGCCGCAAGCATACGGAATCATACGGATCAGTTTTGGTGGAGACGTATAGCAGCATAGCAGTGGGGCATGACTGGTGAAGGTTGGGGCTGTGGGTGTGCTTCTCTGCTGCCCTGTCCAACACTCTCATCTACACATCCGAGCTGGCCGCTTGGACCCAGCTTAGAGCCAATTGTAGCTCCGATGTCTGACGTGCCGGCTGAACATACTACTAGAACGTAGACGGTTTCGAAAAACCAGTTCTCAGGCTGTCACAGGCCGGTTCCTTCAGTCACTAGGACTGCCGTGGGTTGGGGGAAGAACGGGGCGTCGAAGCACCTAGGCCTGGGCCTAGTGAAACCCTATACTAAACCCAAACGCTTGATCACGCAGGACGCAGCTCCAGCGACTTGCCACGTCTTCTGCCCGGAGCTCTACAGAAAGAGATCTCATCAGGAGTGCAGAGTTGCTCATCGTAGGGCATAAGGATCGCGTGTGATTGAGCAGATGACCAGCAAAGGATGAACCCCTGGCACCAAAAATACCAGCAAAGAACCTCTCCTTGCCTTCACGATTCCATGAGCCCTGAGGTCGCAAGACACCGACCCCAACCAGCAGCGGAAAATGACGGGCCCTTTTTTGGTACCCGAAACCAAGACACACACACACACATACACACACATATGTATGCATGTATGTAATAGAAAAATAAATAAAAATACAAATATGAATATATATATATATATAATTAATTGATTAATTGAGTAATTAATTAATTAATTACTTAATTAATTAATTAATTGTATATATATATATATATGCTACCACCCCCATCGACCTACCCTTGTTAGGCCGTTTTAGGCCTTTGTAACAAAAAATAACAACGAAGGCCCAAAAGTCGCGTAGTTAATCACCGGGTAATGAAGGACAGTTACTGGGACACCCACCTCACAGACCCCGATAAGCCAGCATTGGATTAATCTACATTTTGAATCTGAAGCGGACAATGCTGTTTTTAGATGTTTAGATTTGCGTTTTTTCTATGCAAATTGTGCGTTTAAAGGGCAATTAATTTTTTGTTGAGCAACTAATTTATTTATACAATTGTGTTTGTACGAGGCAAAGTATGAACCAAATAGTGAAACATTTTTCTTGGTTCTATGCGAATTTAGCTACTAGAGTAATTATTAAGCAATTAGCCCAATTTGACTCAAGTGAATACCATGTAAAGGACCATGCTCAACCAAAATACGAAATAAGCACCATATTCAACCAAAATATGGCAAAGTGTGGTTTAAAGGGCAAATAGTGCTTTGTTGAGCAACTAATGCATTGAAACAGTTGTGTTTATACCAGGCAAAGTATTATTGAAATGCTATCTGCAAAGTCCACTGAAATACAATATGTTTACATATTCATGAAACAGTTTTTTTTTGAAATATTCATCTATGCGAATTACTAGAGTAATTCTTAAGCAAATAGCCCAATTTGACTCAAGTCAATTCTTTCTAAAGGACCATGCTCAACCAAATACGAAATAAACACTAACGGAAATGGAAGCGGTTCTGCCTACATAACAATGAAACAAAGACTGCTGAAGTATCCAATAAGGACCACTTATATACTATGTCTGAAAAGCACAATTTGCATAAACAAGCTTAAGAATGCACAATAATGGAAATAGAAGCGGTTCTATTTACATAACGATGAAACAAAGATGTCTGAAGTATTCAATAAAGACCACTTATATACTATGTTTGAAAAAGCGCAATTTGCATAAGCAAGCTTAAAACTCACAATGATCCTAGAACAGTACTTCGTGAAGGCCATACACAAGCAAATTCACAAATACAAAAAAACATCCAAAAGCGCAAGCTTTTCAGGAGAATCTCTGGTGAAGTTTGGATTATAGGGTTTGGGGGTATCCCTGGACGAGTAGGAGTCACTTTTTAAGCAAACAATTCTAAGCAATACATGCTGCTTTTTCTCAAGACAAGTACAGTGTGAAGTGGAGCTTTGCAGTTTGTTTTGGGCCGATGCGAAGCGGGGCTTTGCAGTTTACTTTGGGCTGCAGCAGACTTCGTAGGGCACCGACGCAACTGACATGGAAGAGCCTGCGCGCGAACGAGGTGTTTTGGAGGAAGGTGCGGAGCACGCCGCAGGCGCTGGCAACGCTGCTGGTCGCGAGGGTGTGGGTGCTGCGCCAGAGGACGCAACCTGCTCACTGTTGCATGTTGGGTCAGATCAATTTTTTTGTGGAGAGTAGGTGTTGTGAGTTGTCCTCCTCGTGCAGGAGCGATTGTGCAAGGTGAAGAAATGCATGGCTGCTGTTAGAAAGGCCTTGTCTCGGTCCCGTAGACGCGCGGCGAATTTGCATTTGACAGCGCTGGAAACAACTATCGTGTTGGCGATATATGTCTTATCACGGTACAGCATCAGCGCCGTTGCAGTGTATGTTGATTGCAAAAACAAGGTTCGGAGTCAATCTAATCACTCGGCTGCAGAAGTGCGCGAGTTTTCGGAATCCCTGTACCTACAAACCTCTATTGATGACTTGGTCGGCTTGGAGCATGGGCAATGTCGAAGGCATGTGCGTGTTCGCCGTGCAGCAGTGTCGTTTTTGGCGCAGCTTCGAACTTTGGATTGGTTGGAAAGTCAAAACGTGCTTGGCGCGGCTCCCTCTTCATGTGCCATGGCGAGGACATACTTGACGTTGCGCGAGGATTTGGGTGACAGCCAGCGGGATGGTGCGCTCGCCAGGGCTTTGCACAACAATCCTCTAGATCACAATGCTGGTCGCTACTTGCGCATGGTCTCCGAACTTTCGTTCACGCTGGCATGTTGCGTTTCGAGTGCTCGCTCCAAAGCCGGGCCCGCCATGTGTGGAAGTCGCCCTCAAGGCCAGTTGGTGCGTTTTGGAAATGTTGGTCGCTACTGCTGCGCGGCTTGCTTTTTGAGTCTAAGAAGTTGAGGCCTGCATCGGGTTCTTCAAGTCCGGCTTCGCGAGTAAAACAATACTTTCCGAGGCCACTTTTGGCCTCAGATTCAGAGGCCCAAAGTGAGCTTCAAATATCTGAGTTTTCCAAGCTGCCGATATGGTCCTGTCCCTGTGCGCGTGAGGTGCAGACGCTGTGGCAGTGGGTGTCCTGGTTGCGCCGTTGCTGTGTTTGCGCCGGCAAGATTCCGGTCCTGCTGAATGAGACGTATGTGCCCTGGAACCCTGGTTATGTCGCCGGCAACGTTGTGCGCAAGCCCAAAAGGGTGCAAGGTGCTTGCGCTTCAAAGCAGCGCAAAGGGCGATTTTCCTTTACTCCGGTCATCTGCACGGATGAAGCATTGCAACCAATGCTTCCCCGCTTCATTGTGGCAAAGCGCTCGGTTCTGAGCGCCAGGGCTGTCAGGAATACCGACAAGCCCGACAGTGTGCATGTTTGGCGGGAGGCAAGCGCGTGGTCTACAGTGCGGATCATGTGCCGCATGCTGGAGGAGTTGTCGCGCGCCCTGGCCCCTTTCCCCAATTACCAAGCGATTTTGCTTTTGGATTGTCACTCTTCGCATCTTCATCCAGAGACTGTGCGCGCCGCCAACAACCACGGTCTGTCGATGGCAGTCATTCCGGCTGGTCTCACTGGGCTGGTTCAACCCTTGGACACTTTGGCGTTTGCTGGCTTCAAATGCCGACTGAAACAGCAGTTTCAAATCGGCTTAGGTGAAAGGCAGACCATGCCGGAGGATCAGAGTTTCTTCAACGGAAAGCGATGGCAACCAGGTTTTGCGCCCTTGGAATTCGAACCGCAGTTCCCTATCCGCCTGGCACGTGAGCTGCGAGTATATCAAGAAGCGTTGGCTTTGGTGCCTTCGATCGCACCGACACGCGACGAGCTTCTTTCCTCGCAACTATCCGTTGACAGACGATCTTTTTGATTTCTGGACTCGTGCTGCGCGTGGTCGGCGTCTGCGTCTGCGTCTCGTCTAGGTGCGGCCGTGCAGTGAACAACAGTGTGAAGTGGAGCTTTGCAGTTTGTTTTGGGCCGATGCGAAGCGGGGCTTTGCAGTTTACTTTGGGCTGCGGCAGACTTCTGTAGGGCACCGGTGCAACTGACATGGAAGAGCCTGCGCGCGAACGAGGTGTTTTGGAGGAAGGTGCGGAGCACGCCGCAGGCGCTGGCAACGCTGCTGGTCGCGAGGGTGTGGGTGCTGCGCCAGAGGACGCAACCTGCTCACTGTTGAATGTTGGGTCAGACTTATTTTTTTGTGGAGAGTAGGTGTTGTGAGTTGTCCTCCTCGCGCAGCGATTGTGCAAGGTGAAAAAATACATCTGTCCTCGCAACTATCCGCTGACAGACGATCTTTTTGATCTCTGGACTCGTGCTGCGCGTGGTCGGGGTCTGTGTCTGCGTCTCGTCTAGGTGCGGCCGCGCAGTGAACAACCCTGAGGGCAGCGACTCCTGTCCATCTTTTCCTGGTCTTGGCCGAAGCTGAAAATCCGCTTCAAAAGCCAACCCTGAAAGGAAACGCTGGCCGCGAAGCTGGAGAGGCTGAAGCGATCGAAGCGGCAATTGAAAGCTGACATGAAAGCAACGGCCCGGGCATTGAAGACAGCCAAACAAAAGCGGCGACGGCTCCCTGACTGCAAACTTGTTGGTTTGGGGATTCCTGCAAGTGTGCAAGTGGAGACGAGTTGAGGTTTCTACAGCAAGCCCGCCGCCTTTCAGATGCCGACATTGCTGAGGTTGTCCGTCTGCGTTTGCGATCGGAAGCGTAGGGCATCAGGGCATTGTTTGTGTGAAAACATATGGCTTTGGTTTTGGTATTTTTGGTTTTCTACTGTCCCGTGTATGCGATTTTAGTTGTATTTTAGTCTACGCCCTAGGAAATACGCTATACTGCACACCGAGTTTGCTTGCAGTGCAGCTGGGTGACTTGAGACAAGGTGAAAAAGGGTAGGTCACTGGGGGGGGGGGGGGTACCATATGTATGTATGTATGTATGTATGTATGTATGTATGTATGTATGTATGTATGTATGTATGTATGTATGTATGTATGTATGTATGTCACAGATCTCAATGGTATGATCATCCGCATCCTCAAACCACTCAAACGCCAGAAAGGCTTTTGACCCCTCAAGAAAGTGTAAAGGCCCAGATTGAGAGGTTCATGGGTAGTTGTAGATTGCGGTTCGTTTATAATCCCTTAAAACCAAAAAGGGCACCCGTTTATTCCTGGGTTACTCCTGGGTCTAGCCCTAAGCCCGAAGCCCTAAACCCTAAACCCTAAACCCTAAACCCTAAACCCTAAATCCTAAACCCTAAACCCTAAACCCTAAACCCTAAACCCTAAACCCTAAACCCAAACCCTAAACTCCTGACAGGAGCGCCTGTGGTTGCCCTGGTCGTTCTGACGGTCCTCCAGTCGGCGCTGGTCTTCTTGGCCTTTGCTGCCTGGCCCGGGGGTTCCTTTGGGGGTTTAGGGTTTAGGGTTCAGCAGCTCCGGGTCGAGCAATCTCCAGTAGAGCCGCTGTTTGGGCTCTCGAAAAAAACCCACCCACCCAAAGAATCCCAAAACATTAAGAAATAAAAAACTTTCATTTTTCATCAGCAAGCCCTGTCCTCCAACCTCACTCTGTCATGATGGACCAGGGGGGCAGGGGGGGGGGAGGGCGGGGCAGAGGAGGGGGGGCCGCGAAGGAAATGACCCTTAGCCACGAAGAAATGACCCTTAGCCACGAAGAAATGACCCCTAGCCACGAAGGAAATGACCCTTAGCCACGAAGGAAATGACCCTTAGCCAGGAAGGAAATGACCCTTAGCCAGGAAGGAAATGACCCTTAGCCACGAAGAAGTGACCCTTAGCCACGAAGAAATGACCCTTAGCCACGAAAAAATGGCCCTTAGCCACGAAGAAAAGACCCTTAGCCACGAAGAAATGACCCTTAGCCACGAAGGAAATGACCCTTAGCCAGGAAGGAAATGACTCTTAGCCACGAAGAAATGACCCTGAGCCATGAAGAAATGGCCCTTAGCACCCAGGAAATGGCCCTTAGCGACCAAGAAATGGCCCTTAGCGACGAAAGGATGACCCTTAGCCAGGAAGGAAATGACCCTTAGCCACGAAGAAATGACCCTTAGCCACGAAGAAATGACCCTTAGCCACGAAGAAATGACCCTTAGCCACGAAGAAATGACCCTTAGCCACGAAGGTGTATAGGGTTTAAATATGTATGGTAAGAGAGGTTTAGGGTTTAGGGTTTAGGGTTTAGGGTTTAGCGTGTTTTTTAGGGTTTCGGGGGGCCAAATTTAGGGTCAGGGCTTGAAGCTTTGAGGTAACGAGGGGGTGCATGGGTGACATCCGGGTCTTTTTGCCCCGCCTCTCTTTGTTGCAGCCAAGGATTATCTGGTCCAGCGCGGGCCCTGGCCTGATAGCTGTGAGGGGGTTTAGGGTTGAAGTTAAGGGCTTCGGATTTGGGGTTGAGGTTGGGAATTTGAAGTGTAAGAGCTTTGGGTTTGGGGCTTAGGGTTTGGGGTTTCGGGTTCGGGGTTTAGGCGTGAGGTCGACATTGCCTCTCTGCAGCCTTCCAGGCCGATCAATCGTGCTCCCACGCTCGCAACCACGTCGTTTCCATGTTCCCCTCCTTGCACCAGGTGGGTTTTCGAGTTCTGAGACCCGCGCCCGAAGACCCTCGGTTGCCTTAGTTCTGCACTCACTAACTTTGCCAGCAACGCTAAGTTGCCAGCAAAGCTGACGCTTAAGGGCCACGCTAGACTACTAATTGCTTAAGGCCCCCAAGAAATACAAATCATCTTCCTTATTACGTAAGGGTACTATAGGGACTATTGTTTTTTATTCTTTTGGGGTTCTTGAGCAAACAGAAGGGGCCCCACTCCCCTGTGGGCCTGTGCCAGCCATGCCGGACGGCCGGCGGAAGAGGGTGCTGGTCCGGGGGCCCAGATGCACCAAACTCTGGACCGTTGACCAATCCCCCTAAACCCTAAACCCTAAGCCCTAACCCCTAAGCCCTAGCCCCTAAGCCCTAAGCCCAAAGCCCTAAACCCTAAGCCCCTACCTCGGACCTCTAAGGCTGTGCCCTTGGTTTTGGGGGGCCACTTTTGAAAGGTCCCAATAACGGAATGAAAGGGGGCCATATTAGGTGTATATGAAGGGAACCCTCTTATTCTAAAGATGCACAGCACGAAGCCAAAAAACACTGGCTTCAGCGTTTAGGATACCTTTGTCGATTGGATCTACTAGTATTTGCCTAAGGACCCCCTTATAACCTCGGTCGCGCAGTAACCTGGGATGACAAAGGGTGCCCTTTTTGCTTAAGGGGGTTTAGAAGGGAGCCTGGAATAAGGGCCTACTGGGCATCCTAGTCACTACCCAGAACACCGCAATGTCGGATCGGCCAGGAGGATGCGACTCACCGATTAAGCCCTAAGCCCTAAGCCCTAAGCCCTAAGCCCTAAGCCCTAAGCCCTAAGCCCTAAGCCCTAAGCCCTAAGCCCTAAGCCCTAAGCCCTAAGCCCTAAGCCCTAAGCCCTAAGCCCTAAGCCCTAAGCCCTAAGCCCTAAGCCCTAAGCCCTAAGCCCTAAGCCCTAAGCCCTAAGCCCTAAGCCCTAAGCCCTAAGCCCTAAGCCCTAAGCCCTAAGCCCTAATCCCTAAGCCCTAAGCCCTAAGCCCTAAGCCCTAAGCCCTAAGCCCTAAGCCCTAAGCCCTAAGCCCTAAGCCCTAAGCCCTAAGCCCTAAGCCCTAAGGCCCAAGCCCTAAGCCCTAAGCCCTAAGGCCCAAGCCCTAAGCCCTAAGCCCTAAGCCCTAAGCCCTGAGCCCTGAGCCCTGAGCCCTGAGCCCTGAGCCCTAAGCCCTAAGCCCTAAACCGTCCCTCTGATCCGTCTGAACTGCGCAAGTGCCAGCCCAAACCAGGTCCTCAGCGGATGGAGCCCCGGGCCGCTAGATGTCCTTCGCGGCCGGATGCCGGATGTGGAGTGCTTGGGCGCAGCGCTGTTGGGGCTTTTCGGGTTCAGGGATGAGAGTTCAGGGTGTGGGGCCGGTGTGGGGTGTTAGGTGGCTGAAGGGACTTTAGGGCTTACAGGTTTCAGAGTTCAGGGCATGGGCCTCGAAACCTCATGCATGAACTCGGGGTATGCCAAGTCTCCTTAGACCCTATCGAGACCTTGGGCAGCGTTTGTTGAGCATGCGTGTCAAGCAGCTCCATTTCGCTGAGGCCGGACCATGGCGTAACTCGAGTAGCTTTGACTACTCAGTAGCCAGGAGGTCATCGAGTCGGTTTGGAAAAGGTGTGCCAAGTTGCTGAGGACATTGTGAAAGTCCCAGACTACATACAAGCGTTGGTTGCATTTAGTGTGGGAAACGCCAATTCCAGGCTATCGTCTCAGGATTAGTTTTACAAAACGACGTCATTTTGACTTAGTGTGTATTGTACTATTGTTGCCATTTAAAATAGCTTGTCGGTCCAGCACAAACGCCATGGTGCCATAGTGCCTATGGAGTGAGTGCCTGACTGACAAGCTTTTCTTGCTTTGAAAACTGCGAGACAAACCAGAAATGGTAACTGGCACAAAAAGGGGTGGTTTTGTAGCTCCAGAGTTCATTTTCGTTTCAAGAGGTTTTAAAGAACATTCTGGTGTCTTCAACACGTCTCTCGTTGCTGAGGGTTTAGGGGCTCGAGGCCCGCGATCAGGGCTCGCGTTCTTGTGGGGACGACCCCCTGACGGAAGTGGAGATGCGAAAGTTGCCGAGGTTCCTCGAACCCACCATCCCGATGCCCCCGGCTGGCTGCACCATGGACAGCAGGGACTACTACCAGAGTTGAGGAGGGTTCAGGATTTAACAGGTTTTGTGATCAACGCTTCACAATTAAGGATTCCGGCACCCTTTGCGTGGGGCTTCCGGTTTCCAGGCACCATCACTAGGGCTTCTAAGGCGAATGGTCGTAGGTCCCCTGCTCTCCTCAGCTTTGTCAGGTTTACCGAGAGAAGCTCACTACAAGCTTTCCTTGCTTCTCGCAGTTTGACGTATGACTTGCGGTTGCCCCCCCCAGGCAGATGGTGCGCGAATCCCTTCTGCCTGCTGCTTCTGGTGGCGTCTCGGATGCGAGCCGGAACAAATGCTTCCTCGACCGCGGTGTTCTGCATACTCGATGGCCTCTGCTTGCGGAGCAGTTCTTGTAGGAGTTCCTCCAGGGGATCTCATGGGAGGGGGGTGGGCGCCGCGGCCGTGCCTTAGGTGATTTTCTGGCTAACGCCCGAAGCCGCCTCCAACGACAAGCTGCTGGAACAGGTGGACGAATCCATCGCTTGGCTGGCGCGCTTGGCCGCTGTCCCTGCATTGGCGGTGTAGCACAGAAAGCCCCCAATCGGTGACCACAAAGCCACAAAACCCCACAAAAGAGCCCTGAGGCGTTGCTGCTGGCCATCCCTGTTCTGCTGCGACTTGTGGTTGCCGGCCTGGTCTGGTTCGCCATCAAAGATGGCGTGTGGACCACAAGCAGGGCCATCCGGGACTTTCAGCCGGATGTGCCTTCTTCCGCACTCCAGAGCCACCCCCGCTTCTAGGCAACGCCGGGTGAGAAATATAAAGGAGCTCTTTTCAGCCGAGGTTGTCCTTGGCTTCTCCTGGGGTGGCGGTGTAGTGCCTATGGCAGCAAGGGCGCATAAAGCCGCCGTCCATGGCAGTCGGAGCCACAAAGCGAACAGCCCAAGTAACCCCGACGCAGGCTAGAGTGCTCAATCTCAAAGTGTGCGAAGCGAGTGGCGGGGCAGACCCCTCCCTAGCGAGAAGTTGGGCAGCAGGCGCTGTGGCTCCTCTCCGAGGGCCGATGGAAGGCGCCCAACCTCTTTTGGGTGTATTCAGGGGCTTAGAGGGTTTAGGGGGTTTTTGGGGTGTGGTTTTGGGGTGTGGTTTTGGGGTGGTTTAGGGGGGTTTCGGGGGTTTAGGGGATTTAGGGGTTCGGAGCCAGGGGTTTTGGGGGGGGGGGGGGGGGGGCGCAATGAGGAGCATTTCCATCAGAAATCTCTGAAGCAGGGGCCCACCCTGCTGCTGGCTCCCACGGTGAGTGCCATGTCCTGGGCAGCCTGGCAGTAGCTGTGGTGGTGCTTTTGTGGCGCAGTCGTGGGCTGGTGGATTGCAGAGCTTGCTTCGACATTTGTAGCCGTTGTAGTCGGGGATATGCCGTATTTATGCTTTTGAGGCCTGATTCTGAGATACTCTGAGATGCGGAAAGAGTTTTGCCTTTGCTTCTGGTCTTGGGTTGCGAGCCCTCGGTGCAGATCCAACAGCAAGTTTGGGGTGCTGGCAGAGGTCCGGGCGATTGTTAAAATTTGACCGTCTGGGCTTGAGGGTTTCAAGGTTTACGGAGCGGAATCTTCTCCCCCAGCTACGCATTGCATGTGGAAGTTCTTCTTGAGCTCACCCTTGAGATTCCCCTAGACCCCACGCCTTAGCCAAAACCGAAAAGCCCAAACCCAAAACCCAAATCCCAAAACCCTAACTCCTAAACCCTTTAGCCTAAACCCAAAACCCCAAACCCTAAACCCTAATTCCTTGAAATTCATCCTTGTGTCCTCGGTGCTTCATTCGGGAGCCTCGTTTTGCTCAGGTGAGCTGCCGCTCCGCGCCAAGGTGAGAGGGAAGATCTCGGAGGGGGCTGTGAGTTTTTGGGGGCAGCTTTGTTACGGGCATTTCAGGCTTTAGGGCTCAGGGTGTAGGGTCCAGGTCGATATTACAGTTGTATCAGGTTTCTTCAAGGCCCTCATGCTGGCTGACACTGGCTTTTCATCGTCGTCAATGCCATTCGGTTCATCTAGTCGCTGCTCGCGCTCTCACACCTCAAGCCCTGAGCCCTGCCCTACTCCTTAAAAGCCCCAGAAGCCCCTAAAGCCCGTAAAGCCCATGAAGCCCCTAAGGCCCCTAAAGCCTTAAAGCCCCAAAATGTGCCAGTGATTCCACGGGCCGCGCGTAGAGGCTACCGCCTGCGAACCCTGCACGCCCGACCCATGTCTTCCACGCCGAGAACGACGGTTTTTCTGGGGTGGAACTTTTCGGTTTTGGGGGGCTTTCGGGGGGCTTTGGGGTAAACGGTTTAGGGTTTAGGGTTTAGGGTGGGGTATTTAGGCTTTTGGGTATTTGGGGGCTTTGGGGTATTTCGCGGGGTTGGAGTTTGTTTGTGGCCTTCGGGTTTGTGGTTTGGGGTTTCTGGGCTGGGGGGCTTCTTCCGAGTTAAAAGTTGCGGGTCTTGGGTTTGGCTATCGCTTGGCGTCCTAGTCTTCGAGGTGCTGAATGGGGTAGGCCTTCAGAGTGTTGGAGTGTAGGAAAGCTGAGCCTTAGCCAAAGCCAACAATAACAGCCAAGTTTTCAAAGGTCAAGGGAACAGAAGAAATCCAGAAGTCACTACCAGACAGTCCCACCGATGATATTCATCCCTACACGCTCTCGGAGATAGCAGAGGTAGATATCAGTAGCAAGAATTGCAGAGCACAAGGGACCTGGGTTTGGTCAGTTTTTCTTCTTGTGCTGAAAAGCCTCCAACCCCTGCCAAACCTATCAAACCCTGCCCCCCCCCCCCCCCCCAAATTTTACTCCTAAGCCCTAAGCCCTGAACCCTGAACCCTAACCCTAAACTTCCTAAACCCTAAACCCGCCAAAGTAGATCCCAACCCCCTGAAGCCCTGCAGGACGGCTTCTGCCCATCCTCGCAGGTGGCGTCGCTTAGCGCCGCGGGCTGCGAGATGCATGTGTGCTGCTTGGTACGTACATAAGGGTGTAGGGTGCTGTGTGTGTGTGTGTGTGTGTGGGACACCGCTGAACATGCGGCGAATGGCACCCGCACTTCACGGCATGGAAAACATCAAGGACAAAAACTGTTGCATCAAAAGACGTTTCTTTTCAGCAGGGGACGGGAGCATGGATTGCTGGACTCGCTAACAAGGGCCCCAGCTTTCCATGGTGATGTGCTCTGGGACGGCAGAGCATGTACTTGCAGAGTGATTGTCTTAGACATCCCATCAAGCAAGCTGTGCATGGTACATCATTGCTGTCGGTGGGGCATTTTCGACAAGGTTGCTGATTTTGGAGCATCATTTTTCCGGATGGAACACGTGCAGCATAATGATGTATTGGAGCAGCGAAGAAGGAGCGATCAGAGCAGTGTTGCGTGGTGAGCCTGAGCTTGTGCAACATGGACCTATTAACTGGAGTGGAACATTCGCAGCATGTGATTAAATGATCAGTGTCGCATTTTCCTTCCGAGTGGAGAGCGGTCCACGTGGTGCATGTTCAGCTGCGCTAACAACTCTATCGAACAAAACACAACTCAACTAACCTCAATATTCAAATAGCCTACGTGTTGCCTTCTTCTCCCTTTATTTTCGGTACGTGAGCATGTACAAATGTGTTGGCACTGATGCTCTCATGAAGAGTGTGTGTGTGGGACTCATATAACGACAGTTACATTTTATCCAGGGGGTCTTGTAAAGATTTGGGGGTTAGGGTTTACGGGGGCTTTCAGTTTGCGATTCCCAAAAGTTCGAGTGTACAGGGAGGGCGAATATCTAGTTTGGCGTGCATTATACTGATTCGGAAAAGCTGAACACTGAACAAACCTAGCATTCCTCGGATAATCTTGACGGGTCGCGCTCAGATTTTGTTTAGCGTTTTGAAGTTCGCCAAGATCGCGGAACTACTTTAAGGCACAACACGGGATTGGACATCAAAGAGCGATGCCGTGAAACCCGACACCACAGGCCCCAGCCTACAGCTGCAAGCCCTACCGTACACCTCGTCTGACACGGAGGTCACCGGACCATTTTTAATGTCATGTTGCTGGTATGATGATTTTTGATGGTTTTCGAAATTCATTTTGAAGCTTGACCACAAGGTTTCAGTGAATGCTTCCGTGTGTGTGTTGTGTTGTGTTGTGTTGTGTTGTGTTGGGTTGGGTTGGGTTGGGTTGGTTTGGGTTGGGTCGTGTTGTGTTGTGTTGCGTTGCGTTGGGTTGTGTTGTGTTGTGTTGCGTTGTGTTGTGTTGTGTTGTGTTGTGTGTTTTGCAGGTGATGACAACCATGTCCTCCTCAGACGACAGACGGTTGCCACTCTGCTTCATCTAAGTTTTAATGCGGTGACCCGTTGAACCATTCCCAGTTGCCGTGTCAACATCGCACGTTCTTGCATACATTTTGAAAATCTCAGATCTGATGCGTTGTCCCTTGAACGAACCTCTTATTTCGCAAGTCCTTCCTTCCAAACTAACATAACCAAGAAGCTCTGTTTCGGGATTGGGCATCGGGGTTCCCTCGGGCTCTGCATTTGCGGTGCGGGGGGGTGGGGTCTGGGGGACGGGTATTTTGGTGCTTATGAGAGAGTGGAACCTTTCTCGGGGTTTGCATTACGTTTTGTATAGGAGTCGATCAGGAGATATTATTGGCCCTTGTATGAAAGCCCTACGTGAACCCTGGAATTAAAAACCCCCCGGTTTACGATGCCCACGAAATCAGGCCCTTGCTAAGGGGTGCGGGTGTGGGTGTTCAAGCCCTAAACCCTAAACCCTGAACCCTAAACCCTAAACCCTAAACCCCAAGCCCCCTCGCGAGGAGGAGATCCACGGATGTCTCAAGAGGCTCCTTTCTTTGCCGTCCCCGTGCTCATCGGACACCTCCCAGACCTTTGGCGCCAATGCCGCTGGGCTGCTTTTGGAGATGACCCGCCTGCTCGTTCTCGGGGCTTTGGGTCCGGCAATTTCCGTGTACCGAAAATAGTGACCCTTACAATAGACCCCCAAATAGTAGGATTCCGTTGCAACAAGGACCCCCAAAAGGTACCCCCTAAGATCGTAAACCCCCCAAAATCTCGGCTCCATGTTTGAGAGTCCCGAAACCGTGATCCAGGACTGCGGCTGGGACGACTGAGGCGCGCCCGAAGCCAAGAAAAAGGCTCGTGCGCGCCTGCCCCTTGCTGAAGCTTTAGGCCCTTAGGTGGGCCTCACCCCAGCTCCCCCTCATACCCCACACCTCCGTCGTGTCACGCTTGGGCTCCCCTGGCTAAGGTTGAGCACCCTGCTGCACGTCGTCGTCTTCTGGTGGCAGCTTGCTGCCTTCATGCGCCTGAAGTTGAGGCACAAGAGCCCCAGGGCCCGTTAGATGCGCCAGCCCTTCACACTCGGGCGTTTGACAACTCACGAAGCTCCTACTGAAGCATCACATAAGCCCGAGTAGCACACACTACACACTACATACTTCGCACCGCCCGCCCGCTTGCCGGCACATACGCACGCACGCAGACAGAGAGAGCCATCTTCAGGCAGCCGGGAGCCCCGCGGCTATTTGAGGCTCTGGGCCTTGTTTCTACCTGCCTTGGTTTGGTTTGCTTTGGGGGTTTGGTTGCGGTTTGTCTTTGCATTCGATGCTCTCGGGCTTTGGATTGGGAGATTGGGGACCAAGAGCATGAGGCTCACCAAGAACTCTAAGAGACCGTTGAACCACCGCAAGCCTCAACGAAACGAATCGTAAGCAGTAAATCGGAGCACAAGCAAGTATATGAACACACATGACAGTGCGTTGTATTGAGATCACCCAAGCCTGTCCTTGAGAAGCCCACCCGACGACATCTAAAGCCCCAAACACCGCCAGGCCCGACACCTGAACCCAGAAACCCAGAAACCCTGAAGACCTGCTGGTTCTGAGTCGGGAATGAGGCAGTGAAGTACCCTGGTACCCTATACACATCCCCCTCTCTCTCTCTATGTGTATATATATATATATATATTAAATAAGTAAAAAATGTACATATATATATATATATGCATATACCCGTTAAGGGTTTATGTACGGTGCCAAATTCCCCATTTCAACCAGGGAGAAGCGAGAACTCTTGCGGCTCCTTCTCGCTCAGAGTGTGTCAGGTGCCTGGGGGCCAACTGGGAGCCTGGGCGCTGGCCGCCGTGAAGGCTGCCCAGAGACTAACCATTGGCGTTTGGGGTTGAGCCCTAAACCCTAAACCCTAAACCCTAAACCCCAAACCCTAAACCCTAAACCCTAAACCTTAAACCTTAAACCCTGAGCCTGCCCCAGGTTTGGGGATTTGGGGTTGGGTTTAAGGTTTTGTGGCTCCGTTGCCCGGCAAGCCATACCCTCAGATCTTATACCCTGTTGAGGTAATGGGGGCTCGAAGCCTTGTACTCGTACTTTTGCGGTTTGAGGTTTAGGGTTTAGGGTTTAGGGTTTCGGGTTTAGGGTTTAGGATTCAGGATAAGCGGGGCTAGGGATGTCCATGACAAGGTCGGAAGCCCATGAGGCGAGACTAGAGTTCATAGTTCCATGGCATGTGTGTCTCCGTGCCGTGGGTAGACCTTCATGTGGCTGTAGGGTTTCTGGGGAGGTTTTTTTTTTTTGGGACGCACTCAGCCCTAAACCCTAAACCCTAGACCCTAAACCCCAAACCCTAAACCCTAAACCCTAAACCATAAGCCCTAAACCCCTAAGAGGCGCCCGTCCTCGTGCTACTGCTGGTCGCAGCTTGTGCGAACTGGCCCATGGTCCTCGGGGCCGTGGCTGTGACTTGGGCAGAGCATTCCTAAGGTTCTACCCTTAGCTTCGCTGAGGGTTTAGGGTTTAGGGTTTAGGGTTTAGGGTTTAGGGTTTAGGGTTTAGGGTTTAGGGTTTAGGGTTTAGGGTTTAGGGTTTAGGGTTTAGGGTTTAGGGTTTAGGGGATTCCTAAGGTTCTACCCTTAGCTCCGCTGAGGTGATTTTGACAAAGGGCCCCTAAAGGTAGCCCATGGGGGTCGAAGGTAGAGACGCCCTATTTCGGGAACCCGAGCCATTAGCTATGTGTGATAGGGCGTATGTTGATTTATTGGAGAGTGTGTGTATACATGTTTATGTGTATATGTAATAAATATATACACACATACCGGAAGTTCTTGGGCGTGTGGAGTGTTGAGGTTGGCTGAACGTTTCGGGGTTTTGAGGCTTTGGTATGTAGTGGTGGGCTACTGATCAATCTGAAACCAACCGCGTGTTGCGCCCGAAGGTCAACTTCGTCCTCATCCTCTGGGCCCGCAGCATCAGCACTTGATGACTTGGAGCACGACGAAGCGGTTTATGGTGTAGGGTTTCTGGTTTCGGGTTTGGGGATTAGGGTCCTGAAGAACATCCCGACGCGCCACTTGCCAAGCGGCCGGAGCCACCGGCCTGGAATGTTCGGGCGGCGCTGCGCAAGTCGCAGTGTGCTGACTGGGAACCGCAAGCCGGGGCCCGGAAACATCGGCGACACGAAGCGACACCCCCGTGAGTCGACAGCTGGATTCGTGGCATCGACCTGCATCCTGCCCATTGGGGGCCACAGCTCGGCGTGGATATGCTCGTCGCCACTACCTGTCAGGTGAGGGCGGAGCAAGTAGAGAATACCAATGAACGGATCACCTGACTGTGCAGTGCGAGGCAACAGGTCACACAGCCGTTACAAAAAAATGCCTCTTTTTGGGCAGCTCGCAGTGCCACAGGCCGCCAGGAAATCAGGCGAGGCAGTGCGTGGTGCCTGTGTTCCTGTATCGGCTCAGAGTCAGGGCCCCTGAAATCTGTTTGAGCTGCTGAACCCTCGGCGTTGCAAGGCACTTAGAAGCTCGGACTTTACTACCACCCGCAGGGACTTCCGTCAGAACTGTTTCTGAGGTCCTGAGGGTTCCCTGTAGCTAGGCGCAGACCAGAAGAAATTTTGGCCCACGCAATGGCGCGCACCGTCCTGTCTTGCCAGACACCATCGACAGTGACTGGACCAAACCACCCTGGACCCTAGCCCGAAACCCTAAACCCTAAACCCTAAGCCTAAACTCTAAACTCTACAGCTCCAGCAAGTAGAGCAGGCCCGTAGAGCAGGAGGTAGCCCACCACAGCCCGCCTACCGGATCAGTGCTTCGCAACGCGCCGCGACGCCGAGGTGGCACAGCAGTTGTCTGAACTGCTTCAATGCTTTCCTTCTGCAGCAATCGGTGGCATCCAATGGAAGACACTCCTGAGCAAATACGAGGAGCCTCGCCCCTCAGAGTTCTCTGTGGTGCTTTAGTGTAACTTTAGATCCTTAGCCTTTTTGGGTGTATTGGGTTTCTAAAAGGTAAACTTGTAGCTACGCTGCTAAGTGCAGCCAAGACGACAGTTGGTGTTATTGCTTGCGATGTCTGGGCCACTCCGGCGGAACAACAGCTAGAAAAGGAGGTCGAGAGATGACCACCTAAAAGATGACCAGCCTAAACCCTAAACCCTAAACCCTAAACCCTAGACCCTAGACCCTAAACCCTAAACCCTAAACCCTAAACCCTAAACCCTAAATCCTAAACCCTAAACCCTAAGCCCTGCACCCAAAACCCTAAACCCTAAACCCTAAACTCTAACCCCTAAAACCCTAAAGGAGCGCTACAGCACACGCCTGGACATCTTCGGGCTCGGCCACACGTCGCCGCTCGCCGCCACGACCACACTTCTGTGGGATGTCCCGGCCCCAGTGGTGCTTCGAGGGTTTAGGGTTTGGGGTTTAGGGTTTAATTAGGGTTTAGGGTTGAGGGAGTGTAAGGTTCACCTAAGCCCTAGAATGCTAACCCCTAGATTCCCAAAAAAACCTCAAATCCCCAAATCCAAACCCCCAAGACCCTCAAACCCCAACACCCTAAAACCCAGACCCTAAAACCCTAAAGCCTACTACCCCAAGACCGCGACACCCCACCACCCCAAAACCCTAAAAGCCCACCAGAATTTTGGGGGTTCAGGGCATTCCCTGAACCCTAAACCCTGAACCCCAAACCCTAAACCCTAAACCCTATACCCTAAACCCTAAACCCTAAGCCCTAAGCCCTAAGCCCTAAACCCTAAACCCTCCAGGTCCTGCGCCTCGTTGACAGCGAAGATGGCGACAACCCCATCGTGGCGGTGGAGGACTCGGTGGTGCTGGTCCAGCGCCCCAGTTGTCTGCTGAGTTTTTTCATGGCTTAGAGCCAGGGTTTAGGGTTTAGGGTTTAGGGTTTAGTTTAGGGTCTAGTGTTTAGGGTCTAGGGTCTAGGGTTTAGGGTTTAGGGCTTTGAGTTTAGGAAGACAGCGCCAACACGTGGAGCACGAGGAAAGGTCCGAACCCGGGTTTGCGGCTCCAGGTCGCACCTGGAAGGGAAGCTTCGTCTTTCTCTGAGCTTCCACCGGGGAGTCATTGGGTTTAGGGTTTGTTTTGGGGGTTTAGGGTTTAGGGTTTAGGGTTTAGGGTTTAGGGTTAAGGGTTTAGGGTTTAGGGTTTAGGGTACCCCAACCGCAAAGTTCGGTGTCATTCTGGGACGTCACCAAGGTCCCGAAGCCTGGCAGTGCAGCGAGCTGGCCTTCTCTCTACAAGGCAGGTCTAAGGTTGAGGGTCTAGGGTTCAGGGTTCAGGGTTCAGGGTTCAGGGCTTAGGGTTTAAGGTTCAGGGTTTAGGGTTTAGGGTTTAGGGTTTAGGGTTTAGGGTTTAGGGTGTATCGTTTCAAGCTTATGGTTTGCAGCGTGGGTGTTGGTTGCCTGCAGACTAGACTTAGCAGCCTTACTCCCCACCACCCAGAGCGGAGAGGTGCTTTGCAGCGTGCTGCGTGAGCATGGCACCGTGCAGGAGGCAAGGCGTCATATGTGAGGCTGCTGAATGCAGACCTGTCATTTCTCCCGAATGCATTGTTTTGTGGTTTAGGGTTTAGGGTTTAGGGTTTAGGGTTTAGGGTTTAGGGAGCCGTGAATTTGGAGCATGAAAACAGTGCTGGGGCCTGAGCACGGGCTCGCCCCCGCAGATGAACGGTGCCTTGCTTTTCTTGTTTCCTACGCTTGGGGCTTCGGGGGCCATGCCTGGGGTGTGAAGGTTGAGATGTGCTTCCGAACTCAGATAGTTTCGGGCTTCCAAGAGTTGGCACAACCCTTCCGCCGACAAACGCGTGCCCGAAACCCACACTGCGGGAAACTCCGGCACAATCATCTATAATTCTCTTGTGTTATATTGTACTATGATACCTTATACAATGCTTTTAAAAGAAGCTGCAGCGCCCAAGCCTTCGCGCATGGGCTGGATAGCAAGCGCCCTTGCCAACGGGGGTGGTAGGGGGATGTGTCCTTTGTTCTTTCCCCCAAGTTGGACCCTAAACCCTAAACCCTAAACCCTAAACCCTAAACCCTAAACCCTAAACCCTAAACCCTAAACCCTAAACCCTAAACCCTAAACCCTAAACCCTAAGGGTCTTCGCAGGAGGGAGGCCAGCAGTCGATCCTGGTGTCACAGCTGAAGCCGCTGCTCCAGCGCTACTGGCACAGCACCTTTGATGAGGCGCCAGGGGCAGCTTGGGATGTTTGTGGCAGTCCAACAGCTCCGGGCTTAGGGTTGTAGGGTTTAGGGTTTAGGGTCTACGGTGGTTTGAGGGTGCTATCTTCCTCCTTCGTGTCTGGGGTGTTTTGGGCGGTTAAAGCTCAACCCTCAAGCTGCGGAAGTTAGGGTTACTTGGAGGTTCGTGGGTAGTCATTGCAGGGTTATAAGTGCCCTAATTAAGGTTGTAAGATAGGTTACCTTACGACTAACCCGACTTGAACAACCCATGAAGCCTCAAGAAGTAAGCTTCAGGGTTGCGGCTAAGGGATTCGGGGTTCAGGGTATTTAGGTTTAGGGTTTAGGGTTTAGGGGTCAGGGTTTAGGGGTTAAGGGTTTTGGGGTGTATGTCTAGGTTGCTTTCATTCGTCCGGAAGACCAGGGAAGCCTTGGCTACCTCACGGAGGAAGGCTCTGCCGTCAAGATGAAGAAGATGAAGCATCTCCTTCAGGCCACTTGGAAGGCACTCATTCTATGGCGGGTGCAGTCTAGACCCTAAACACTGAACCCTAAACCCTCAACCCCTGCATTTAGTTGGGTCGGAAAGAGGCGGCTACAAGCACCTGCAAGCCCCTGTAGTTCCTCAAAATCTTTAAAGCCTCCAAAACCGCAAAGACCCTAAAATTCCTCCCCTATAACCCTCTAAACCATTCTAAACCCCAAAGACCGTAAAAATCCTCCTTATCACGCTGATAAAGCCCATAAACCCTGAATACCCCTTAAATGCACCCGACAACCTATAACCCTGATGAAGCGTGTAAGCCCTGAATACCCCTTAAGTGCACCCGACAACCCCTAAACCCCAGACCCTGAACCCTAAACCCCAGACCCTAAACCCCAGACCCTGAACCCTAAACCCCAGACCCTAAACCCCAAACCCTAAACCCTAAACCCTAAACCTTAAACCCCAAACCCTAAACCCTAAACCCCAAACCCCAAAACCCCGAAATCCAGGCCCTGCTCCGCTGGCGCACGCAGCGCCTGGACTGGCAGTCCTGCGGTGGCCGCCACAGCACCTCGGCCTGCAGCGCTCTGGGTTTGGGGTTTAGGGTTTAGGGGTTTGGGGTTTAGGGTTCGCGGTTTAGGGTCAGGGTTTAGGGTTCAGGGTTTAGGGTTGAGGATTTAGTGTGCCATGGTGGAGTACTGCATCTTGAGAAGAGTTTCATGAAGCCCGATTGCATTCAGTCATTTAGGGTGGTGGCGGTCAGTTTGTTCATCCGCCTGTACATTTTGAGGTCGGGATATGGATGAGGCGCTCGCGCCAGAGCTGGAGCTCTTGCATCTCTTCGAAGACGGAATCCCCTTTTTGTTTTTTGGTTATGTTTGGGTTCTGTTTGGGTTTAGGGTTGTGGGTTTTGGGCTTGGGGTTTAGGGTTTAGGGCTTAGGGGCGTGCAGTGGAGGTCATTTGTTTTGTTTTGTGACTTGTCCTTAGTTCCTCACAACTGCGGCTGTTATTGTGATTCCCGTTGATGCTCAGACCCAGCTTTTCCAACCCTTGCCTGTCCTAGTTCTTCCAGACCCCAAGCCCTCAGTCTCTAAAACCCAGAAGCCCTAAAGCCACCTAAACCCTAAACTCGGAGCCTCTCAAACCCTGAAGGCCCCCCCAATCCCTAAACCTTAAACCCTAAACCCTAAACCCTAAACCCTAAACCCGAGACCCTTGAGGCCTTCGAAGCGGCACAATGACCTGCTGCTGCGCTTCGCTGGCTCCGTCCCTCAGGTAGAGCCCCGTCTGTCCCGCAAGGGGGCCATATAGCAGGCTTCGGGTTTCGGGTTTCGGGTTTAGGGTTTAGGGTTCAGGGTTTAGGGCTAACGGGACCAGAGGATGGAGAACTGGCAGTATGAACGTTTCAGGGTTTTAGGTTTCAAGGGCATTGTTGGGGGTCCTCATGGGCTGTGCCAAAATTGAGACCCTTTGTCAACTTTGCCGGGCAAACTGATACAACGCTGTGATGGTGGGCAGGTGGGGGCACATTCCCTAAACAGCAAGAGGCCCACTCGAACCCCTAAACTCCAAAGTCTAAACCCCAAACCCCAAACCCGAAACCCTAAACCCCAAACCCTAAACCCTAAACCCCTGAAAGCGTCACCTGCAAGCTGCGCTTCTGAAAGGAAAAGCCGTGGACAGCTTTGGGCCAAGTTCTTCCGTACCAAGGCGAGGAAGACGAGGCAGGCCAGAAAGGGAGCCTAGTAGGCTTCCAGGCTCACATTAGGGTTTAGGGTTTAGGGTTTAGGGTTTAGGGTTTGGGGTCCAGGGTTCAGGGTTCTAGGGGTTTCAGAAATCCCCTTCTGGCTCCCGGTCACGCAGGCGGGAGAGGCTCTATCCCCGGAAGTGTCGACCGTGGCCTCAACGACCTCGTCAGCCGTGCAGGAGGAGTGGCTGATGATACCGATAAGAGGGTTTACGAAGAAACGGTTTAGGGTTTAGGGTTTAGGGTTTAGGGTATAGGGTTTAGGGGACTAGACCCCCGACTTGTAGGATTCCCTTCCAAAAGGACCCCAGTAAGGTATCGGAAACTCCCATACAAGCCCGTTGCCCTGTTGTGGTGCAGAGTCTGATGGTCAGTTCTGTCAATTATGATGGGGTTTAGGGTTTAGGGTTTAGGGTTTAGGGTTTAGGGTTTAGGGTTTAGGGTTTAGGGTAAACCCTAAACCCTAAAACCCTAAACCCACCCCAAACCCTAAACTCCAAGGCTACCCTTGGGGCCTTTTTTGTTGGGGGCACTGGGAGGAGCTTGCCGCTCTGCGAGCAGAGAATGAGAAGCTGCGGCACAGGAGACAATGGATTAAAAGTGGGTCGACTGAGGGCCCTAAACCCCAAAGGGCTTTGGGCTTTAGGGTTTAGGTTTTCATGTGAGGGGTTTAGGGCAAAGAACACCCCACAAGCACCCTAGCCCAGAGAGCCCGAACCCCAAACAGGCCTTTGTACCGGCTTGTGTACACCACATCAGCAGATGACCTTCTTCATGTAGTGTCGTGCAAGTATCCGTTGAAGGAACAGTGCGCTGGAAAAGAGCGTCCGGGACCAGGACAGCGTTCCAGAGGCGCGTTTGGAGAACTTTGAAGAACCCTCAACCCTCAACCCTCAACCCTCAAACCCTCAACCCTCAACCCTCAAACCCTCAAACCCTCAAACCTCAACCCTCAACCCTCAACCCTAAACCCTAAACCCTAAACCCTATAAACCCTAAACCCTAAACCAACCCTAAACCACAGACAGTGTCTTCCTAGGGCGCTGGGATCTAGGAGCCACTTCTCAGGCGCAGCTGCCGGAGAACCTCTTCGACAATCCGTACGAACCGCCCCCCCAGGTGCGGAGTGCATAAGGGCTTAGGGTCTACGGTTCATGGTCTAGGGTCGCAAAGTAGTAGAGGTCCCCCGAATATATCCCAAAATGAGAGAGACTCCTGTCATTCTAGGAGCCCGGTCTTGCGTCCTGGTCCCTGAGCCTGAACCCACCAAACAGGGCACCCCTGATTCTCGGAAACCCCCCGCAGATTCTCAGGTTCCCCCGCATCCGATCTTTGCTGGGTTGCATGGGGTAAGTTGCTTAAATTTGAGTGCCGGTCATCATATGGACCCTTGAATTTAGGGTACGCAACGGGCCGTCTACATGAGCTGAATGAAGGGGGTGGGGCCAGATGCCTTCTTTGGCCAAGGGACAAGCGTGTAGCCGAGGTTTGGCATGGCGGGTGGAGCGCGGCTTCTTCGCCTACAGCCTCTACAGTCTCTTGCCCAATTCCTTGAAAGATATTTTTGAGATCTCGGTTGCTTCCTAAACCTATAAGTGACCTTGGCTCTTTAGTTAAGATGGGTGGCGCGACTCCGCGCCAGCACACTCTTGCTGTGTGGGTGCTTGTGTACCCAAAATGCAACATGCAACAATCCTCATTATCGGAATTCCCACGAAGAGGTACCCCTGAATCCCAAACCCCGAAACTGGAAGTGAAACTCAGGGAAGCCATTGGTTTCTCAATAGGGACCCAGGGAGCTCGGCACCTTTACTGGCGTGGGAAAAGCCACGTGTTTAAGGCATGCTGATGGTGGGTTTCGCACGTTTCTTGGAATCGCGTTTCTTAGATTTCTTGCGCCAGAAGAGCGGCCTATTTTGGCAGAGTGAGCATAAGAGAAAAGCAGCAACTCCGACCAATAAAGAAACTGCGTTACCCATGAAACGTGTGCGATGTCGTATTAGACCTTAGCACAGACACACACACACAGACAAAAAGGGTTCAGGGTTTAGGGTTTAAGGGTTTAGGGTGATTCAAGCCGTATCGACCACAACGTTTCTCACGGCATCGCACGAACTACTTTTCTAGCTTCCGAGGGAAGTTGCGCGGTCACTTGTCCCCTACCTCTTTTGAAGGGTTCTGAAGTACGGGTCCCGAGGGTTTCATAAAGTATATGAGGGCATATAAGGGGTCCCCATTTACGGGCACATATTATAGAATTCCGGTCTTTCAGCTTCACCCTTTTGGAGCATGTCTTCCTTCCATCTCTCAAGGGCCATGAAAGCTGGCCTGGCACTTCAAGCAGTTTTCTGGACACAAAGGGCTGCCTTCCGGTCGTTTCTTGCAATCCGTCCTGGCTCCTGCTGCGCTCCGGCTCTGGGTCAGACACGTTTTGCGCGGCCACGGCTTCATCGTGTCGGGTGCTTGTGCAGCAATATGCACCGATGGGCTCGGCCTTCCAGACTCTCGGCACATTCCGGAAGGAAGAAAGGCAAGTCAGCCTGCGGTGCATTCAGCGAACATGCGGGACCAGTTTTGGCAGTCTCAGCGGGCGCTCTTCATACCTATGCACAGCGGGCAGATGGTCAGCTTGTGTGCTTTGGATCCTGCTCATTTGGGCTGTCTGACGTACCATCAGATTTGGGACCAGTTTTGGAAGTCTCAGCAGGCGATTTGCATACCTGTGCAGTGCGGGCAGATAGTCAGCTCGTCTGCTTTGGAGATAACGAACAGGGGCAGTGTGACGTGCCAGCAGATCTGGGACCAGTTTGGGCAGTCGCAGCGGGTGAATATCACACTTGTACAGTGCGGGCAGGTGGTCAGCTCGTCTGCTTTGGAGAGAACCAACATGGGCAGTGTGACGTGCCAGCAGATTTGGGGCCAGTGTGGGCAGTCTCAGCAGGCAATGATCATACTTGCGCAGTGAGCGCAGTTGGTCAACTCGTTTGCTTTGGAAGCAACAAACACGGGCAGTGTGACGTGCCAGCAGATTTGGGGCCAGTTTTGGCAGTCTCAGCAGGCAGCTCTCATACTTGTGCAGTGCGGGCAGATGGTCAGCTCGTTTGCTTTGGACTTACTGGATACTACGAAAAGTCGGACTGGGGAGCGCCAGCAGATTTGGGACCAGTTTTGGCAGTCTCAGCGGGCGATTACTATACCTGTGCAGTGCGGGCAGATGGTCAGCTCGTCTGCTTTGGAGAGAACGAACAGGGGCAGTGTGACGTACCAGCAGATTTGGGGCCAGTTTGGGCAGTCGCAGCGGGTGAATATCATACCTGTGCAGTGCGGGCAGATGGTCAGCTCGTCTGCTTTGGAGAGAACGGACAGGGGCAGTGTGACGTGCCAGCATATTAGGGACCATCTTGGGCAGTCTGAGTGGGCTCATACTTTTCATACTCATGCTGTGCGGTGTGGACAGGTGGTCAGGTCGCCTGCTTTGGAGTCAACTTTTCCGGCAAGTGCATGCACCCAAGCGCAGATCCGAAAAGGACGGGGGGTGCGTACCGTCAAACCCTCGGCAGCTTAAATCTCAAATGCTGCTGAAACCACCTTCTCCTGTGTAAATGTTCTGTGGCAACTTGCGTGCGCTCTTTTTAAATTGGTCTTCTTGTCCGACAGATGCAGCAAACCTCATCCCTGACACCTAACTCTGGATGTGCACGGTTCTTTCTTCCCTTCATTGTTTAAGTTTAAGCTCATCTTCATTCAATTCGTTGCCAAGTTTTCGGGTGCTTTTTGGAGTAAGCCTCGTGGCCGTGTGCTTCATTTGTCTAGTAACTAGTACATCAGGAGGAAGACTCTCTTGTCGCACTTGCATGTCTTTCGTTGACGGGGGACGCAAGTGCATTTTGCCTGGCCTGGCCAGCAGAGGAATTTCTGCGATGTTTTCAACTTTTTTTGTTCCGACGGAGGAGTATTCAATCCTCCGCGCCCCAGAGGCACGCCTTGTGGAGGAGTCTATGGGGAAGGAAGGTTTACATGCACATGCTGGCATAAGTGCCCGATGCGACGAACTTTCGTCCTGGCGCAGTATGTAGTCTGGGCGTTGGATGCTCCGTCTTCTTGTTTGTTCGTCTGCTTCAACTCTTATGTTGGGATGTTCCCCCTTATACTAACAGTCCTTAATAGGGAAATCCGGGCTCATAGTAAGCCCTAGTATAAGGGGGAACATCCCGACACTTATGTGTAACATCGCCTTAAACGTTGGGATGGCTCTTTCGCTAAAATTCAGCTGCGCCATTGTTCGATGATGTTCCATGTTCCCATGTCTCAAATACTTGTGCATCGCCTCCTTGGTCATTACTCCCTCGTCGTTTGCATAAACTATGTTTGGGTTCTTCCCCATGGTAGGGTTGGCATTCAATCATCCCACTTGCTCCTTTTTTGCCTTGTAGTGGCATTTTCCACGACAGACCGATAGAGCAACTGACCCTGCAACAGGAACAACGGCAGTATACTAGCGGAAGTGCACTAAACCGAGGCGGTTGTGAATAATCAGACTTTCAATGGCATTGGAAAATAGCACCAGCGGAAGTATACTAAACAGAAGCAGATTTAGACGTATGGGGTGATTTTGTTCAATGTTCGTCATCATCAACAGAGACATTGAACGGAGACACGGAGACACAGTCAGAGCAATTATTCTCATATATCCGTAAGAGAAGCGAGAGTAAACCCTAAACCCTAAACCCTAAACCCTAAACCCTAAACCCTAAACCCTAAACCCTAAACCCTAAACCCTAAACCCTAAACCCTAAACCCTAAACCCTAAACCCTAAACCCTAAACCCTAAACCCTAAACCCTAAACCCTAAACCCTAAACCCTAAACCCTAAACCCTAAACCCTATACCCTAAACCCTAAACCCTAAACCCTAAACCCTAAACCCTAACTCGACCCTAGACCCTAGGCCCTAGACCCTAGACCCTAGACCCTAAAACCCTAAAACCCTAAAACCCTAAAACCCTAAAACCCTAAAACCCTAAAACCCTAAAACCCTAAAACCCTAAAACCCTAAAACCCTAAAACCCTAAAACCCTAAAACACTAAATCCCTAAAACCCTAAAGCCCTAAAACCCTAAACCCTAAGATAAACAGTAGCTTGCGTGCCCGTTGTAGAGCTGTTGGCTTGCAGGGAATTTGGCTTTGGGAGGTTTCGAGCGTCTGCGGATTTCGGGTTGGGGGTCAAGGCTTGAGGGCTTCGGTTGGGGATTTAGGGTTTAGGGCTTAGGGTTTAGGGTTTAAGGTTTAGGGTACGGGGGGAAGCCGAAGGGGGACGAGAAACCGAAAAGTCAACCCCAACAGAATCCCTTGATTTCCCTGGATCAACCACACAACAAACCCAAACCACAGGGCACTCACCTTTTACTACCAGGCACATGGCCCAGTCTTGAGCCATAAAATGATTTCCGGGTTTATTAACCCTTTCAACTTCCAACACTAACTCTTTTTACAATACCAGTTGCAGCTCCGCACTCCCCCTGTCCTAGGATTTCCTAGGACACATTGGAGATGCAGATCTTTGGCCAAAAACTGCCATTAGGGCAGTAGCCTGCTGCTTGACATGCACAATATGGTTTAACGTCTACCAGGACGAAATTATAGCACATTGGCTAAATCCACTAATCATAGAGAATCTTTTCACCATGATCCTCTCATCACTGAAGACTCCTTGGCCTTCTTCACCACAAACCGTGGTCTTCGCTACGCGAAAAGCTACTGACTTCTACTATCAGGGATTTCCATACCCTTAATAGTAACCACCACATTTGTCAGCACATTGGCTGTTCCAGCGCACCTGTCTCCAGAAAGAGAAAAACCATCCCTTCATCCATACCATCCAATCACTTCTTTTTCCGATTGTTGGCAATCTTGAGGTGAAGCTGCAGCAGAATATACTCCAGGTCCGAAACGGCAAGAACAGGATCCTGTACGCCCCTTTGAATTGAGGATACCAATCCTTCTCTTTTCGCGTCCTCAATCGCTTGGCAAGATTGACCCAGCTCTGCACTCACAGCTGTAGACGCTTGCGCATCCGCATCAGGAGGACAATCCTTTTCCTCGGGACCTTTCACCACTACCACTTCTCCCTTTTTGGGACTCTGACTTTTCTCTTTCTTTTTCGCTTTTCCACCGACAATTGACTTTGTGCGCACCTTCAAGGCTTTTTCTCCTGCAGAAACCGCCGCATTGGATGATGATCCACTCTTCTCAATGGTCGCCGGCATCTTCTTCGGCTTTGGAACCAAGAGAGTGTAAGGATCTTCGATAACTACAGGTTTCCTCTTCTTTTTAGCCTTTTTTGCCTCCTCCTCAACGATAACTTCCGTCTCAGAAGTCTCAACCACCTCCTTCTCGGCAGGAATATCTTTGCTGGACTCCCTTTCCAGGGACCTCTTCTTGCCCCTTTTGGGATCTTTTTCTTCTTCCAAGTTGGCTCGCTCGAACCATATCCTCAGGTCATTGACCCATTCTTCCACCTCCTCGAGCGAAACAT